CAGCACACAAAAAGCATCATCGGAAATGACATTCATTCATCTGGCACGGAACCACAGACAGATTCGTTCGTCGCGCATCGCAGCACAGCACTGACCAGCACAGCCGCTGTCGGTCATGGCGTAGCCCCAGTTGCAGTGACAGATGGCGAGCTCCTGCTCCTTCTCACAGTACGCGTTCTCCCCACAGTCCCTTATCGCACACGAGTCTGTCCGGTTCACAGCAAGAAAGAACACGCATGTGGAACGGGGAGCAACGACGACAGAGTGAGGACAGGAGACTGGAAAGAATGATCAGAGTGCCCTGCCTGCACGGCATGCCCGAGAAGACTATATTGTGACTGGGGAGGTTATTGTGGGAAGGAAGCAGCAATGGCAGAGGTGTTATGCCTTTACGTGCAACAGCAGGCAACAAAGATGGGTGAATGGTGCACAGTCAACTCATGCCTGCAGGACAGATTGGGCAGCAGCGGATATGGCAAGCAAGAAGGTTGGGCTCAGCCGACTCATGCGTGCAGAACGCAATCCGCAGCAGACATGGGGAGCAAGAACGGTGCATTGGGCTCAGGCAACTCACGCGTGCAGGACGCATTGGGCAGCAGCTGTTGGCCCCTTTGGCACACACAGTTCGCCCAGCCTCCCTCGCTCTCTTCGAGGCGCCTCAAAAACGAATAAGGAAAGCAGCAAACAGGGTGCAGGGTGGGTGAAGGCACTCACGCGTGCAGGACGCATTGGGCAGCAGCTGTTGGCCCCTTTGGCACACACAGTTAGCCCAGCCTCCCTCGGTCTTGAGGCAGTTGGCGTTGGGGCCGCAGTTGCGTACCGCGCACACGTCTGCACTCAGGCACGTGGAGGAAGGCACAGGCACGTGGGGGTCGGAAGCAGGCACGTGGGGGCAGACACATGCACGTGGGGGTCGGAAGCAGGCACGTGGGGGCAGACACATGCACGTGGGGGTCGGAAGCAGGCACGTGGGGGCAGACACATGCACGTGGGGGTCGGAAGCAGGCACAGTATGGGGCAGAGAGCACGTGGGGGGCGAAGCATATGACAGTGCATTTGGCAAGCACAAATGCATAAAGCACACCAACATTCAACACAGTTGGCCAGAATCCATAACAGCATGTGTAGAATCTGAAACACGGATTGCATGTCAAGTACGGCCACAAGGCTGCAGAGGAGCAATGCTGCATTCACTCTTTCTGGCAGCACCCACCAACGCAGTTGCCGTCTGCGTCCCTCTCTTCGCCCGCTGGGCAGGGGCGGTTGTCAGCAGGAGGAGGCAGATCAACGTCAGCAGGAGGCCCGGTCGGATGGTCTGCGGAACACAATGTGGGGCAGGGAATAGTTGAAAGCGCTGAAACCATGTGGTCAAGATGAAAGCCGCGTGGCAGATCTTGCAATCCGGTTTGCCTGCCTCTCTCCCTCTCTCCAAGAAACGAACACAAAGAGTACTCATAGTAGCAGCGAAGAATAGAAGCATAGCAGCACACAGCAGCCTTACCAGTGCAAGTCTTGCCATCTTCCCGCAGCGTGAAGCCAGGGTCACAAATACAGGACGCCACCCCATCCCCGTCCTTCTCGCACTGACCGTTCTCACACGCCAGGGCAACACATGTGTCTGCATCGGGAACAAAAAAAAACTCAGCAACAGTGAAGGCGAAGGGTTATACATAAAAAGCAGTACCGCAATCAACGACAACATGGCAGCAATAGCACACAACAGAAAAGCAGCAGCACACAACACATCAGAAGCAGCACACAACACACGAGCAGCAGCACACAGCACATGAGCAGCAGCACACAGCACATGAGCAGCAGCACACAACACATGAGCAGCAGCACACAGCTACCTGTGCATGTCCTGCCATCCTTCTCCAGCTCGAAGCCAAGGTCACAGAAACAGGATGCCACCCCCTCTGAGTCTTTGGTGCACCCATTTTCACCACACGCCTGGAGCACACATGTATCTGGTGAGGGAAGAGCCAAAGGGGATAACAAACGTCACGTGAATCCAGCAGAGCCATAAGGAGCAATAACAGCGCGATTTATCAGTGCAGCACGGTTAAGCAGCACTCACCAACACAGCCATCCGCGGTCTTGGCAAAGCCAGGGTTGCAATGACAGGAGGAGACTCCCTGGTCCTCCTCACAGTAGCCGTTCTCCCCGCAGTCCTCGGCGGTACACACCTCTGCCAGGTTCAGCACGAGAGGGTGGACAGCACGAGAGGGTGGACAGCACAATAAGCACAAGAGACAGGTGAGGAGATCAGAGGATGTTGGAGCGGTCACAGGATGCTCAGAGGCCGTAAGATGCTCTGGGAGGGGTTTAAAGCGAGAGGCAGCAATGGCATGGATGTTAGCGCTGCGAAGAAAGAAAAGGATTGCACCGGGCAGGAGCGGATATGGGAAGCAACAAGGGTGGGTGAGGCTGAACTCACGGGCGCAGGACGCATCGGGCAGCAGCTTAAAGCCCCTGTCGCACACGCAGTCCGCCCAGCCCGCCTCGTTCTTGAGGCACCTCGCGTTGGTGCCGCAGTTGCGCACCGTGCATGAGTCTGCAGTCAGACACGTGGGGGTCAGAGATAGGCACGCGGGGAGCAGAGGTCAGACACAGGCACATGGGCGTCAGAAGAAGTTGTCACAGTCAAATGCAGTTACCAAATGACGAAAGGCGGCAGTGGAGCAATGATGTTGCGTTCACTCTTTCCAACAGCACCCACCAACGCAGTTGCCGTCTGCGTCCATCTCTTGGCCCACTGGGCACGATAGCAGGCGAATGGCTACCACAGCCCTGGGCACACAGGCTGGGAGAAACGGTGGGGAAAATGAAGGAGAAGATGGTCAATGGCCGAGAGTTGGATCTCATAAGGCTACTACACGAGAAACAAAGCAGACATGTATGTGCAGGACTGCGCAGATTATACATGCGTAGATAACTGTTTGCAAGGGTGAAGGAATGAGCATACCAGAGAGCATGAGAGCAGCCAGTGCGGCAGCAAGTACAAGGCCAGAGCCTCGCATCCTACTAGCCTCGTAGAGTGCAGCCATAGTTGATCCGAGTTTCCGAAGCGATGACAACGATGTTCGATATGGTCAGCAATCTCAGATTGGAAACACAGCCAGGAATGAATGATTTGCCGTCTGGGATGGCCCTCTGAAATACTTCCTGTCCAGTTCCGCCTCCTGCCGGATGCGGTCACTGGAACTCCGCCCTTCCTCTACGAAAAAATCTATGTCCTCCCGCCCTTCCGCCTCCTCTGTGGGTGCCAAAGAGTTGACTTTCCGTTGCTCACGTCGCCAGCCAGCGCATCCCAGATCTGACATGGACAGATTGACTCAATGACGTTGGATTGCTTGACTTAATCTGACTCAGCTCCAGCATGACGGTCTGAAGACTAGCGGGGATTGGTGGGCGTGTGGTGAGGTGTGAGCTGAACAGTAGAAACACCAGTAAGCTGCGCCGCGCGCACGAAAACTTGAAAGCTGGATCCCAGCGTTGCAAGTGGAAAAGGATAAACTTTCAAAAAGATTCCAATCTGCCTTTCCACGCTGGACTGCGCTGCAGCGTTGGACTGCATTCCAAAGCTGAGCTGCACATCCGAACGGCGGCGCTGGATCCCACCCGAAGCTGGATGCATCCAACATTGCATCCTGGTGCCGTACAGGCGCAGGCTCGGTTTGGATACGAAAGCTCCGGCTGTGTACAGAACAACTGTTCTCAAGAATTTGACCAATCTCGCGAAACACAGGAGATAGTTCCTCACAAGCAGGAATGATGGAATAGTAATGTGCTGAGTGGATGGATAATGCGCTGCTGGTGATGCGGATGATGCGGTTGAAACTCCGCCTTTGCCAAAGAGCTGACTTACTGATCAGAAAAAACCCTAATGTGATGACATTCCACCACTGCATTTCAGCGCTGGAATTCATTGCAACGCTGGAGTGCTTCCCAAAGCTGAGTTGCATTCCCAAGCTGCATTCTGGCTGACACTGAATCTGCATTCCGTACATGCCACTAGGGCTGAAGTTGGGTTCATTGCCAGCTCGGACGTAGCGTGATCCTCGGAAATTTTTCTTGAAAAAACAGGGTCCTCAGAAAAACCTCCCCGGAAAAGTGGCTATCCAGAAAAGCTCTTACGTGAGCGTTTTCACTATCGATTCCTGGAATTATAGGGTCCCGCAACATTCGAAGGTTTGACTGAAAATACGGTGTCGCGTCCAACTGGAAGTGTTTAGAAAGTGTGTGTGTCGGGGTGTTTGCTTCACATGACTCTGCCCGTTTCGGTTTAGCAATGTATCCCCAGAATCAGAGAGCGCGTGCCCTGAATGCCAATATGGCATTGCGTGTGGGTGTGTACAGTACTGTGTATAGGCAGGCTCGCTATGCTTTGCATTGCTGGATTCACGAAAGATGGTGCAGAGGCCCCGTAGAAGCAGTGTACACTGATCAGTATCATATCGAAACCTCAACAAACCCGATGCACTGTTATATTGACCCAAGGGGCAAAGGGACAAAAGTTGACACCGTCAGAAACTGTCCAAGTGGCAGGGTTGTTACGTTCCAAGCCGTCTCAATACAACAGTCCGAGTGGCAGGGTTGTTACGTTCAGCAAGCATTGTCACCGCTCTTGATAAGTGTCCTCTCACTATTACCATAATGCATTTATCAATTCAATCTTGTACCTGCATACTTAACCGGCCATTTAGTGGGCCCAATATTTTATTAGATTTTTCCTCCCTGGTTTTCCTTAGTTCTTTTCACCATTAATATTGTATTTCACATTGAACATGGGATTTGACATGTACCGTGTTACCCCGAGTATAAGAGCATCTGCACTTATAATGAAGCGTGTTTTTTTCATAGGGTGGGCTTATTAATGAGTAGATAAGGCCTGGACATGATCTAGCTCCACCTTTAACTTCCTTCTCACGTAAGGAGAATCCAGGGTCCTACAGCCAGAAGAATACGGTACGGTACAAGTTACAACACCCTTTAGTGCATTACAATGCAGGAGGAGCATCGGTGCGAGCAAACAGCACAGTGTTCCCATCCCCCATCACATGCACTCTCTTCAGTCCCCACGCAGCAAAGGTCTCCTCACATTTCTGCCGCCTCTTCGCCCCGTCTCTCCCCGCCAGCTCAGCATGGAATCTCACCGCCACCTGGCCAATCGGAACACTCCCTGGCGCGGGCCCCACGGGGGTCTTCTCGGCCAATGCCGCGGCGCCATGTTGCGTCAGATCTCCCACACTGGTGCCAAATGCATCTCCCCCTCCTAAAGCCCCTCCTCCCCGACCTCCTCCTCCTGCTGCTGCTGCATTCTCGCAGAGATCGAGCTCCAGCCCGGCGATGTCCAGCCGTAGGATGTCGATCCAACGGTGGGAGTGCATACACATGAACGTGCGCAGGCGCAGCACTGCCGCTTCCCGCGTCTCTTGAGACGATGAGGAGGTGGCAGCAGAGGATGCAGAGAATGAGGGGGAGGAGGAGGAAGAGGAGGGAGAGGAGGGAGAGGGTACGGGGTGGAAGAGGGCGACCCCGTCTCGAGGCCCGAGGGCGAAAGGGCGGAACTGGGGGGAGCGGCGGGGAGAGAGGCCCTTGATGGGTTGCAGCATGGAGGAGAAGGTGGTGTCGTTGACGAAAGGGTCGAACACAAACACCTGTGGGGGGGGGGGGTGTTAGTAAGGTGTGGGAGGAGGGAAGAGGTTCTTGATAAGTTGAAAAAAAGGAAGAAAGAAAAAAAAGCTAGGGCTCGAAGACGGGGGGGATGGTGGGGTGTGAGAAGGGAATGGGCAGCATTTGTCAGTAAGGAGAAGGGGATATTGTCGGCAAATGGTATAACAAAAACACGCCCCCTTCCCTCCCACCCTCCCCCCACCAGCCACCCCCCCCCACACACCTCCCCCTCGCTTCACCCACTGTCCTCTCAAAAGTCATCTCACAAAAAAAAGAAGAAAAAAGCCAACTCCAAACGAGTACACAATTCCCTTTGGTTGCAAGTGATCAGATTGGACCACACAATTCCACTTCCCATTGCACGCACACAACCCCCCCCTCACCTGCTGTTCACCTAACCTTCAAGCAGAAGGTTTGAGCTCAATCGTCCCCTCTTTTCTCACTCCCCCCCTCTACGCCACACCCCCTCTTGCCTCAACTGTTGTCCTCTCAAAGTCATTTCGCCTTCAAACAAGAGGTTTGGGCCAACACCGAAAGAATAAACGACGCTTCTTGGACGCAGGTGATCCAATCATACCAGACAGTACCCCTTCCCACCTCACACAACCCCTGCCTCACCTGCTGTCCTCTCAAAGTCATTTCGCCTTCAAACAGAAGGTTCGGGCCGACTCCAAACGAGTACACGACTCCCCTTGGTCGCAGGTGGTCGGAGCATACAGGCCACACGATTCCCCCGCCTTTTTCTTTCGCCTGCCCGGGCTGCCCACCGATGTATTCCAGTTTGCAGGCAGGGAAGCGGCGGCGCAGAAAAAACTCGACGTCCTCTGCTGTTGTGACTCCCTTCTTTTTTTTCTGCCCGGGGTCTGAGAGGAGGTGTCTGGCGGGCAGGTGGTAAGGTGAGAGGAGGTGGCGACACAATTGACGTTTGTTTGGTGGGAAAGGCGGAGAAGGGGGGAGTGAGGGTGGAAAGCAGGGGGGCGTGAGAGGCAGGGGGAAGTGGCGGAGAAAGGCAGGGGTGGGGGGGGGGGGGGGAAGGGGACGGGGAGGGGGAGACAGGACAGAATGTCAGAGCATTGTTTTGAATGTACCAGGAAATAGCGTATTGAGACGACTGGGAAGGCGAATGGCATAGCGACAAGTCAAGAATCCATACACGTGGAGAACGGGTGGAAGGGAAGGGAGTGAGAGCAGCGTACATTCCCCACCCTCCCCACCCTACCCACCCTCCCCACCCTCCCCACCTTCCACTCCCTCCCCACCCTCCCCACCCTTCCCATCCTGCCCACCTTTCCCCACCTTTCCCCATCTTCCCCACCCTCCCCACCCTTCCCCACCTTCCCCGCGACCCCATCGCGTCGCTCCTCCCCGCTTCCCCGTTTGGGGGACCTTCCAATTCCAGTTCCGCCTGCTCCGCCGCGGACACGGGCTCGGCGCGCTCCGACCATTCGCGCTCCTGATGCTGCTGCTGCGGCTGCTGCTGTTCCTGGTGGAGCTGGTGGTGGTGCTGCTGCTGATAACCGTCGGATGCGGAGAGAATGGACGGCGGATACACGATGAGCGTGCGGGGCGACGAAGAGGATCAGCAGCACGTGCCACGGGAGAATCGCCGGGATCGCACTGTTTAATTTCGCCGGCTGGTCACCCGTTGTGCCGCCTGGGTGATATATTTTCGTCGGCCCGTGAGTTCTGGACGAATGCATTGTCAAAAAGGGAGATGAAAATCAGGAATCTTAATATTTCATTGGCTGTCAAACGACGTCTCCACAATCTTACAATTTGTTTGTCAATTCTAGTAGAAGCGGACTTTATACGGGACGGGAAATACTACGTTCGTTGAACATTGCTGACGGGGCAGGTGCCGCAGCCGCTACCACATCACCCAAAATGCTACGCGTGGGGGGGAAGGTGGGGGGGGGGGGAGGGGGGCGTGATCTGAACTTCTGAGTATGGTAGCGGTTCAACGAGGTGCGTGACGGTTTTCCTCGGCAGCAGAATTTCGAGGAGTAAAACCGGTTGGATGTTTTTGCAATGCTTCACCGCTTTAAACCGCTACTCGCCATCCTGGACATTATTGTTACAGTTTTACACCAGCAAAGTCATTTTGGTGCATCACACACCAACCACTTTCAACAAGTGCCTCCGTTGTTGAAGTGTTCGGTTCCTGTTAAGTGATTGTTACAAAAGAACTAAACGCAGACAGGTACACGCCTATGTGCCTTGCACTCATGGTAGAATGAACTTTTGGTCATTGTTTCTTCCATAAGCCAAAGACTTCTTCATGAACTTGCCAATAAATGCTTGCAGTTTTTTTGCGGCAACATTTCAACTCCACCGTGCTCGCATCACTTCACAATTCATTGGCGGTCTTATCATACAAGAAGGAATTGTTGGAAAGCATGCCAGTGAAGGCGGGCAAACGTTTCAAATTCACAGCGGGAGAGAAGAGAAGGGGCGTATAAACAGACACGATGAAAACATTATCCCACAACGTCAGGAGGGGAAGAACGATGCTCAAGGAAAGATGAGACCCATCAAGCTGCAGTGCAGAGGCTGTTGCATGCAAGAGCAGCATGCCCCAGCAGCACACTGGCATCCCACAGTCCATCCAACCAGGAAGGGTTTTGTCTATACCGATGCTGGAGGGGAGACTGATGCAAATAAAGCTGCAGTGGCCATTGCAAGAGCAGCACACTCCAGCAGCACACTGACAGTCTGACACCCCACAGTCCATCAGAACCAGGAAGGGTTGTGCTGTATATCAATGCTGGAGCAGAGACGCGGAGACGCAGAGACAGCTCAAGCTGCCGTGGCTGTGGCAAGAGCAGGAGCAGAGTCCGATTCCTCATCACTTCCACCTCCCTTGCTTCCTCCCCCCTGGCCCTCCTCTCCCTTCCCTCCTGCCTTCTCTCCACCTCCCTCGTTCTCCTGCAACCACCGCTCCCACGCGCCCTCCCCTTGCAGTATGTGGGCTCCACACCCCGGCACACCGTCCTCCCCCTCCTCCCCCTCGTGCCCCACCGATGCCTCGTCCAGCACCACTGCTTCCACTAGACTGCTGGGGACCTGGTGGGATGGCAGGGATGGCAGGGACGGGCAGATCAGGCATGGGAGGGATGGGTGGATGGAAAGCAGGGTGCAAGTTTACCCCCTCCTCTTCCGCCTCTTCCTTCTCCCCCTTCGTTCTCCTGCAACCACCGCTCCCACGCGCCCTCCCCTTGCAGTATGTGGGCCCCACACCCCGGTACACCGTCCTCCCCCTCCTCCCCCTCGTGTCCCACCGATGCCTCGTCCAACACCACTGCTTCCACCAGAGAGCTGGGGACCTGGTGGGATGGGGTGAGAGATCAGGCATGGGCAGCAGGGATGGGAAGGATGGATGGATTAAGGCAGGGAAAAAATCAACCCCCCCTCCACCTCCTCCACCTCCTCCGCCTCCTCCCCCTCGTGTCCCACCGATGCCTCGTCCAACACCACTGCCTCCACCAGAGAGCTGGGGACCTGGTGGGATGGGGTGAGAGGTTAAGCATGGGGGGGGAAAGATGATAGGGATGGGTGGATGATACGGAGGGGCGAAAAGGGGTTAAGCAGGTAACCCCCTCCTCGCCCTCCTCCCCCTCGTGCCCCACTGCTGCTTCGACCAACACCACTGCCTCCACGAGAGTGCTGGGAACTGGTGAGTTGGGGCGAAAAGGGGAATGAAGGCAGAATGGGATTGAGGCCTTGATACCCACCGTACCTCACACATAGCCTTGGTAGGCACCGTACCTCACATAGCCGAAAACCGCCGGACCTCATGCATAGCCTCGGCGGCAACCACTTACACAGCCCTGACAACTGCTGCAGCTCATACATAGCCTCGGTAACCACCGTACCTCATACATAGCCCCGATAGCTACCGTACCTCGTACATAGCCTCGGTGAGCAGCCCCTCCAGCAGCGATCGCAGCCCCCTGGCCCCCGTGTTGCGCGCTGCTGCCCTGCGCGCTATGGCCCTCACTGCTCCCTCTGTCATGTGCAGACGGGCCTGGGTAAGTGGAGTGGACGAGGGAAGTGGGGAGAACATGACGAGAAGGAAGCGGGCAAGAATGTGTGCTGCTGCTTTGCGTGCTATGGCCTTCACTGCCCCCTCCGTCATGTGCAAGCGCGCCTGAGTAGGTAAGTGGTTGCAGAGGGGAAGTAGGAGAGCATGAGGTAAAGGAAGACGGTATGAGTGCTGCCCTGCGAGCAATGGCCCTCACTGCGCCCTCTGTCATGTGCAGCCAGGCCTGGTGGGTAAAATTTGAAGGGAAACAGAGGGAGAGCATGGGGAATACGCAGGTATGAGTGCTGCTGCCCTGCACGCAATGGCCCTCATGGCCCCCCCTGTCATGTGCAAGCGGGCCTGGTTGGTAGGGGGCAATCAATGGGAAAGGGAGTGAACACGAGGAAAATGAAGGAGGAAGGATGAGTGCTGCCCTGCCTGCGAGCAATGGCCCTCACTGCGCCCTCTGTCATGTGCAGATGGGCCTGATTGATAGTTAAGGGGAAAAGAGGGGAGAACACTAGAAGAATGAGGAAGGTAGCATGCGCCTGCGAGCAATGGCCCTCACTGCCCCCTCTGTCATGTGCAGCCGGGCCTGGTTGGTAGAGAAAGGAGAGAGGGAGAGAAGGGGATTGGTCAGAGACATGAAAGAGAGAGCCAGCACGAGTGCTGCTTTTGCCATCAAACACTTCATGGCACGCGCATTGTTGAATCGACTCAAGGGACCTTGCACATGCACTAGTCTTGTTGATAAAAAACAGGTCCGATCGCTGCCCTTTCTCGTACCTTGCACTAATTGTTAGCAGAGATTTGTGATAGTCATGACCCACCAGCAGCAGCCCACCCAGCAATCACGCTGTTCACAAGCCCTGGAAACGGGTTCTAACAGTAGCCTTCACTCACGTTGTTCATAGCCAGCAGCTTTGCAAATTGCTTGCTGAGGGCGTTCTTGGGCTTTAACAGAACCTGGCAAACAGGAATCGCACAGCCACAGGGAGGAGCAAAACGGATAAGGACATCAAGGGCGTAAAACGAGGCGGATCATCTCCCTGGTGAATGGGCACCTTCAAGACCTTCACAGAGAAGAGAGCACAGTCATGCAGCACTGTATGCGGACTCTGGCTTTCAGGCGAGTTCTGAGACGCCTCCACAAGGTCCCTCAGTTGCCACCTGCACCACCACTTGCCACCTGCACCACCACTTGCCACCTGCACCACCACTTGCCACCTGCACCACCACTTGCCACCTGCACCACCACTTGCCACCTGCACCACCACTTGCCACCTGCACCACCACTTGCCACCTGCACCGGTTGCCACCTGCACCAGTTGCCACCAGCACCAATTGTCACCAGCACCAATTGTCACCTGCACCAATTGTCACCTGCACCAATACTTACCTGCACGAGCTGCTCCTCTGTGAGCGCATGCAGCCCTACAAGCACCAGTTCATGCCCGCACCAGTTGCTACCTGCACCCTCACTGCGCCTACCTGCACGAGTTGTTCCTCTGTGAGCGCATGCAGCCCCACCAGCACTGGATGTTACCCAGTTCCTACCCGCACCAGTTGCCACCTGCACCAGTCATTACCTGCACGAGTTGCTCCTCTGTGAGAGCATGCAGCCCCACGAGCACCGGGAATCGCCCCACAAACTCAGGAATGAGCCCATAGGCTATCAGGTCCGTGCTCTCTGCCTGCCATAGACGAAGAAAGGTAGTGGGGGGGTTTCAGGGGGTGGAGATAGGTGGGGAGGGTTGCGGAGGGGTTTAACAAAGAATCGCCCCCACAAACTCGGGGATGAGCCCATAGGCTATCAGGTCCGTGCTCTCCGCCTGCATTTGATGAACGATTGAGGGAGGAGGGGGTTTGTTGAGGTGAAAGGGAGGTTAGAGGAGGGGAGAAAATAGGGCTCAAAATTAGCACTACGAATCGCCACACAAACTCGGAAATGAGCATGAAAGGAAGAGCATGAAAGGAAGAGCATGAAAGGAAGAGCATGAAAGGAAGAGCATGAAAGGAAGAGCATGAAAGGAAGAGCATGAAAGGAAGAGCATGAAAGGAAGAGCATGAAAGGAAGAGCATGAAAGGAAGAGCATGAAAGAAGGAAGAGCATGAAAGGAAGAGCATGAAAGGAAGAGCATGAAAGGAAGAGCATGAAAGGAAGAGCATGAAAGGAAGAGCATGAAAGGAAGAGCATGAAAGGAAGAGCATGAAAGGAAGAGCATGAAAGAAGGAAGAGCATGAAAGAAGGAAGAGCATGAAAGAAGGAAGAGCATGAAAGAAGGAAGAGCATGAAAGAAGGAAGAGCAGAAAATGATGAAAGAGGGAAGAACGTGAAAAAGAGAAGAGCATGCAAGAGGAGCACTCACCGACTGCAGCAGCGAGCCGGCAGTGCGGGCGTCAAGCACCGATCGGTTGCGCAGCGATGCGCGCACGGGGGCCCCGAAGCCGATGGATGACTTGCGCTTCCTGCACGCAGCAAGGTAATAGAGAGATTCCAGACATGTGGTACAGTCAGCATCATATGTGCTTGTTGCAGGGCTTCCTTGCAGCGATGTCGCATGTGGGCCCCGAAGCCGATTGATGACTTGCGCTTCCTGCAACAAATGAATGACATGACGAGACATTCACGATATGCAGTTAAAGGCGAATGAGGACAACATCATGCGTGACGAATGCATAGGTGCTCCAAAGCCGATTGATGACTTGCAGGGAGAGCAAGTCATCGTATGTGCTTGCAGTGATGTGCATTTGGGTGCTCTGCTCTCATCTCCTCACCTCTCTGCTCTCATCTCCTCACCTCTCTGCTCTCATCTCCTCACCTCTCTGCTCTCATCTCCTCACCTCTCTGCAATCGTCTTCTCGAGATCCACGAACGCCCCTCCACAGATGAAGAGAATGTTCTGTGTGTCCAGCTGGTGGGGTGGGTGGGGCAGCGAAACGGGTGGCGGGGTAGGGGTATTGGCCATGGGAGGGAGATGGCTGGCAGGCGATAGAGATGGCGGGCAGATAAAGAGAATGCTATACGTGCCCAACTGGCAGGGAGGAGCAAGGGGCAGCAAGAACTAACTGAGACAACTTATGAAGCGCCTCAAAGGCTAACTGAAAGGCAGTGGGCACAAGGGGATGTAGGTAGATAGGCATTAATAAGAAATGCATTCTGACTTTTGAGGCGCCTCAAAAGAAGCTAGCCATTAATAAGAAACCCATTCCACATTGTGTAATACTCGTTGTGGTTTCCAGGTATTCTACGTGCAGCGTTGACTTTTGAGACGTCTCCATGCCTCCTACGTGGGGTTCTCTTGGTTTCCAGGCACTCTACGTGCAGCGAGGTTCTCAACAACAGGTATTCTTCAGGCGCCAAAACAACTCGTACAGGGAGTGAGGCAAGCAGCACCAAAACACCAGATATCAATATAACCCCGCACCCCCCCACTCCTGCACTGCACCCCTGCACCCCCGCACCCCCGCACTCCCCCACCAATGTAGCCCCGTACCTGTATGAACTCGCCTCTTGGATTCTTCCTCCCTGTTTTCTCCGGCACATTAATCACCTGCACCCAAAGGGAGAGGGAACCGGACAAGAGTTTTGAACTGACTGAATAGGCACCTTCAAGCCCACCACCACTCAGCTCAGGGCACCGCCCTCGAATATTCAGAGCAGCACCTGCTACACTCCCTCCCTCCCTCCCCTGATGACACACGTCCCTCTCCCCTCAAGCTACTCACATTAGCAAACTCCATAACCCTCATTGGCGGAATACTCACTCCCTCAGCACTCAACCCAACCTCCCTTGCTACTCACAGCGCCCTCGAGCATCCTCAGCAGCGCCTGCTGCACGCCCCTCCCAGACACGTCCCTGTCTTCCCACCCTCCTCCAATCCTGTTCTCACATACCCCCACAACACCCCCCCCCTCCCCACCCCCCTTCCCCCGCCGTTCTTTACTCAAAGCGCCCTCGAGCATCCTCAGCAACGCCTGCTGCACGCCCCTCCCAGACACGTCTCAAATGCCGACAGACATGTCTCTCTCTCTCATCCCACCCTCCTTCAAACCACACTCACATAACCCCTTACAGACCGCCCCGCCCTCACTCACCGCGCCCTCTAGCATTCTCAACAATGACATTACGCCCTGCCCTGACACGTCCCTGGCACTCCAAACCAAACTCCTCTGCATATTCCTCTTACGCCCCAAGCTCTCTCTACTGCCCTAGTTCCCTTAAACGCCCAACCCCCCACTCACAGCACCCTCGAGCATTCTCAACAACGCCTGCTGCACGCCCTCTCCTGACACGTCCCTGGTGCTCGTGATGCCCTCCGCCTGTCGGGTCGGGCACACAGGGTGGGGTGGGGAGATGAGAGAGGCGAGAGAGAGGCACCAGTAAGACGCTTCTTAAGACACTCCAACACGCCCTGCCCTGACACGTCCCTGGTGCTCGTGACGCCCAGGGTGGGGAGATGACGCCCTGACACGTTCCTGGTGCTCGTGATGCCCTCCGCCTGTCGGGTCGGGCACACAGGGTGGGGAGAGGGGGGGCAGCGTTAAGACACTTTCAAGGCACCTCAACACGCCCTGCCCTGACACGTTCCTGGTGCTCGTGATGCCCTCCGCCTGTGTGGTGACAAGGGGAGTGGGGATGAGGAGAGGGAAGAGACAGGCATCAAATCAACACCTCTGATTTGAAGTACTCCAACACCCCTCCCCTCACACGTCCCTTGTGCTCGTGATGCCCTCTGCCTGCCCATGCACGGATGAGGGAGCGGAGAAAGAGTCAACATGAAGCAATCTTCAACGATATCCCATCACGCCCTCCCCTCACACATCCCTTGTGCTCGTTATGCCCTCCGCCTGTACGGTGGTGAGAGGGAGGGAATGCGAAGAGGTGAGGGGAGAAGAGAGGAGGGGAGAAGAGAGGGTAAAGGAGATGAGGGAAGGGGAGAGGCACATTTGAGAATCCACCAAAGCCACTCCGAAAACTGCAAGGGATTGGGGGAGCGATAATGAAGGGGAGGCAAGGGGGGGTAAAGAGGTGGAGGAGGAAAGCCAACAGGGTGAAATGAGGGAAGGAGTTCGAACACGAGGGAGGCGGGAATTGGGACTGGAAAGGAAGATACAGTCAGGAGCAGATTGAATGAAACTGATATCACAAGAGTGATCAACGAGAAATTGTCATGATTCGCCTCAAAGACACAAGGCTTTGCAGCACATTACAAAGGAGAACCTACTCCACTGTTGCGCCCTATAATCACGTAGCACTGGATGTTATGTATGTGCCATTTACAACAGATCACCTAGTTTCGAGTAGAAACGGAATAACGTGGCTCACCTTTACACTGATCATGTGCGGGGTGCGGGTGTGCAAAACTGTGGGACTCTGGAGACGCGGGGTATCGATCCCCGTACCTATCGCATGCAAAGCGATCGCTCTACCATGTGAGCTACACCCCCACAATTGGCGGAAAGGAAACGCCAATCCACCTCAAACGTACACACAACGGCCTGGTGCTAGTGGTGTCAAGAGCTCACTCACTCACCGTGTGTGAGGGCTTTGAGACAGCTCAGAACTCTTTTGGGACGACTCAAAACTCTTTTGAGACGACTCAAAACTCTTCTGGGACGCCTCAAAACTCTTTTGAGACGCCTCAAATCTAGTGATGTTACAGAGCTCACAAACAGTGTGTGAGTGAGAGCTCTGAGGGTTGGCGTCAGTGCGCTCACCTTCTTGGTGAGCTTCTATGATGGATTATACGCTTATAGCGTATATACGCGTGTCGTCCCTTCAATATACACGATGCCCTGCTGCGCTGCTGCTTTAGTGGGGGTGTGCATCACCTAGTGCCCGTGCCGCTAGTGCTGCTAGCAAGCCTACCTTCTTGGTGAGCTTGTCAATCTCGTCGATATACACAATGCCCTGCTGCGCTGCTGACACACTGAAATTGGCGCTCTGCGGAAAACAAGTGGACAGTCACGCACACACACACCACCATGGGAATCACACACAAAACAGCTAGTCATGAACATGCAAGCATGCACATCAGGAGCAAAATGAATGTAACTTGTAAGGAGCAGTTGAGCTACGTGAAGCCACCCGGGGTTGGGACCCGGGTGCAGCAACCCCTACCCTCACCTCCACTTGTAGGTGCAGCAACTTGTAAAATATCATCTCCGCGTCCTCTGCACGACAAGCTAACACCTCTACTGACCCGTCTCACCTCTTCCAAACCCCCTCACCTGCAGCAGCTTATAGAGAATCATCTCCACGTCCTCTCCCACATACCCCGCCTGCACGACAAACAGCACCAGAGAATGAGAAATAGGTGAGCGTTGGCTCAGGAAACACAGTTATAGTAGAAAGCCCGTTGTCCTGCATGCCATTGTAACGAAGTGACCTTTGAGGCGAATCACGAGTCATCGTGTGGGAATTGGCTCAAGAGCAACGGTGAAAGTGATATGCCCCTTGTCACACACTCCCTGTGAGGCATAGCGTGACAAGGGATAGTTAGCCATACTGGTTTAAGAACTATGGCTGGAAAACGGTGTGAAAGAGCGTGGAAACCAGGTTGTATCGAGCCTGAGAATCAGAGAGCCGCAGCTGAGTGTGGAAGTTGATGAGAGTGGTGGAATGCAACGCAGCTGGGTGAGAGCGACCTTTGAGTCAACCAAGAGTCACCTCGCTAAAGGCGCACCTGGGTGAGAGTGGTGGCATCAGCGATGGCAAATGGCACGTTGACAAACCGGGCCAGAGTCTTGGCCAGGAGGGTCTTGCCTGCACGCATGGCACAGCAGAGGATGAAATACCGTCCGCAAAGAATAGGAGATGATGACCCGTGTTAATTGCAATGACATCACAGAGCGGACAGGTGCGGAACGGGCAGGTGCGGAACGGGCAGGTGCGGAACAAGTGGGGAGTGTGCGGATGGAGTGGAGCTGATATGTTGAGCTGCACCCGTCCGATACGAGCACCTATTGCTTCCGATGAGCTGCCTCCACCCACCCACCCACCTGACCCGGTCCGGTCCGGTGGGGCCCATGAGCAGCACATTGCGCTTCTCTACCCCCACCTTGTCCCACAAGGCACTGCACAGCAGCACACATGCTGCGCGTACGCTGCCTGTATGCTGTACTGCGGGTACCCTACCCTGCACTGCTATGTTCGTGCATGGAGCACCCACCTGACCCGGTCCGGTCCGGTGGGCCCCATGAGCAGCACGTTGCGCTTCTCTACCCCCACCTTGTCCCATGGCAGCACCGCTATACTGCCTATATGCTGTGCTTCTCCTTGGTTGCACCCTAGGCTCCACCTGGTCCCATGACAACTCGTGCACCCACCTGACCCCGTGGGTCCCATGAGCAGCACGCTGCGCTTCTCCACCTGCACCTCGCTCCATGACTGCACTGCCATACTACCCGCATGATATGCTGCTGCTATGCTTCTCCTTGCCTGCCCCCTACGCTGCACTGACAACACGTGCACCCACCTGAGCCTGTCGTCCCATGAGCAGCACGTTTGCTCTTCTCTACCCCCACCTCGTCCCGTGAGGCACAGGAGTGCTGCTCGCACACACCTGAACTCGATGCTGCATGTATGCTGTGTGTGGGGGCTATGCTCGTGCACCCACCTGACCCCGTGGATCCCATGAGCAGCACGTTACTCTTCTCCACCTCCACCTCGTTCCATGATGGCACTGCTGTGCTGCATGTATGAGCGCGTATGCTGCCTGTCAGCACTTAAACCCACCTGACCCTGTCGGTCCCATGAGCAGCACGTTGCTCTTTTCCACCTCCACCTCGTCCTCCTCACCGCCCCCCACCAGGTTCTCGCATGCCCTGCAAGCACAGGGAGGGACGACAGTGAACGAGAACGGGAGTGAGTGAGAGATGGCGGACAAGGGGCAAAGCGTGGAGCAAGTCGAATGAAATCCCCCAGCAGGGGAGTTGTAGAAAGCGAACGAGTTCACTTTCTTTTTCTCTTTCTTGGGCTTTTGGGTGAACCCAGGACGAAATCCGGCCCTCTAGGAGAGCGTTCAGGTAGATGATCAGTCACTCCATCTACACACATCGAGTTCTGAGAACTCCACTCCACACAAATCAAGCCGACTTTTAAGTCGAACCAAAAGTTAACTCCACTCCACACAAATCACAGCCCCTCTGCAATCTTCCCACTCTCCCACAGCTGAACCTCCGCTCACCCTTTTCAACCCTCATTCACCCCTCTCAACCCCTTCTCACCCCTCGGGCAGGTTGGCGAGTCTTTCCCGCTTCTGGTTTTCAAGGAAGATGCGTTTGTAGTGGTTGTACACCGCCACTGCCAGCACCTGTTGAAAACGGTTGAATACAAAGTAAAAAAAAACAAAATGAGATGCACTTAAATGGCTTTGTCAATAAACCAGCTGATAAGGAAGATGCGTTCGTAGTGGTTGTAAACCGCCACTGCTAGCACCTGTTGAGACGGGTTAATTACATATCATATAGGGCTTATAACCGGGATACGCTTGTAGTGGTTGTACACCGCAACTGTTGTAACCTGTAGAGAAGAGTTAAATACAAGGTTCAGAAATGGCCAATAACGAAATGAGCTTCTAAGGACGATGCGTGTGTAATGATTGTACACTGCCACAAACATTCGGCTGCGAGTATTTTCGAAAGAAGAAGTGACGAGTATGCGACCGTAAAGGAGCAATACCACGCCAGCCTGTCAGCAACTGCCACGTCACCAGCACAAGCTCACCTTTTTCGAGTTATCCTGCCCGATCACAAATTCATCCAACGCTGCCCGGATCTGCTTGGGCGTGGGCAGATTCTCCCCCAGATTCGCCCCTCCCCAGTTATGCTCTGTGCCGTCCCCTCCTCCCCCTGCCGCCCCAAAACACGGCACATGCCCCTCCCTCCCCTCTCGCCCTTCCCGCCCTTCCCGCCCCTCCCTCCCCTCCCCTCCCCCGCTCTGCTGCCCTCTCCCCCGCTTCTCCCCCGCGCCCGCGCCAGGGGCGGGGGGGATCTGCGTGGGCGCGGCCAGGGGGGACGGGGGAGGGGGCGGGGCGGGGGGGCCTCTGGGGGCGTGCAGGAGGGGGGAGGAGAAGCTAGGGGGATAGGCGCTGGTGCTGCTTCCGCCACCGCCAGGGCTTCTATTCCTTCCGCTGCTGCCCACCTGCTGCCCCTCACTCCGCCCCTGCCCCTGCCTCTGCGCTTTCTTTTCTCCCCCCGCACCTGCCTGTCCCTGCCCCTGCTGCCCCTGTCCCTGCGCCCACGGGTGCCCCCCCCACCCCTGCAAACTCGCCTGGAACCGATTCAAGTACTCCTCCCGCGCATCTCTCCGCGCGCTTCCCCCTTCCCCTCCGGTCGCCCCGCCCATCATCCCGTCCAGCTCGCTGCGCGCCGACCTGCCGCCCGGGCGGCCGTCCGGGCGGCTGAGCTGCCGCCCAAAGCGGGACCACTGCCAGGCGTCAGAGGCGGGCGGTTCGGGGGGAGTGACGGCGGAGAGGGGGAACACGTGTTTCCAGTCCGCCTCATACCAGTCCGCCTCCACAAACTCCCCCACTCTCGCGCCCCCCCCCGCCCTTGCCCTTCCCCAATCCTTCCCCCTTCCCCCCGCTTGCGCACTGCCCTTCCGCCGTCACCTGCGGCTGCCCCTCGTCTTTCCCCTTCCGCCCATTCTCCGCCTCCCCTGTCCCTCCCGCCACCGGCCTGTCGGTGAATCGCTGGCATTGGCGGCAGAACAGCACCGCGCGCCCGCTCGCGCGCGCCTCCGCCGCGGACATGGGCGGAGATAGCGCGGACGCGGACGGGGAGGAGGGGGAATGGGGGAAGGCAAGCGCGGGGAAAGAGAGGAGCGAGAGGGGCGCGCGGCAGTCGGGGCACAGCAGCTCCTCGTCCCCGCGCCCGCTACCCCCTCCGCCTCCGTCACCCGCTCCCGCCGCTCCGCCACCCCCGGCAACCACACCGTCGCTTCCGCCTCCCCCCACACCACCTCCGCCCTCCCCCCCATCCCCGCCCGCTCCCCTCTCCGCCGTCGCCGCTATTTCCACCCACACGGGCACCGCCCACGCTCCCCCCGGCCCTTCCAGGCGCGCGTTGGGCCACGCGGGGGTGAAGCTAGCGGCAATTCCGCTCCCTGTGCGACGAGGGTTGGGCGGGGCGGGGAAGCTGTTGAACGAGAGCGGGAAGTCGTCCGCCCATTCCGCTCCCTGTGCGACGATTCGAGGCGACGCCACGTCGGATCGCGACGATGCTGCGAAAGTGTGCGACGAAGGGACGAGGGCGTCAGTTGAGGCGACTGCTTCGTTTACCGAATAGTCCACGACGTACCCTTTATTAGTTTCTCTGTTACGATACACGTTCCGTCCTTCTCCCTCTGCGACGAACCAGCGACCACCGTGCGACGACGACATCGCGGGCGACACGTCGACGAACGGTCGCATGAAATCCTCGACTGGCTGCGACAGGCATCGCAGCGCGCGACGCCTTGACCTGTCGCCGTCGCTCGAACGAGAGCAACCGTCTCCTAAACCGTCTCGACCATCGGGGGAGACCCGAAACGCTGCCACGTCATTCGGTCCATCTGAGCAGCCGCCACGTGTCGAGAGCGCACGGGCGGACGTGTAACGACCCAGAAAACCCGCGGAGGAGGCGACGCTTACGGGTGGTAACGCTTTGCGACTAGCGGCGAGGGGATACGAGAGGCGAGCGGTGTGTAGGGCGAGGCGAGGGGTGTGTTGCGACGGTAGTGAGTGGCGGCGACGTGCGGGGATGGACGGTGCGACGCTCGGCGACGAGAGATTGGCGGCAGCCGACGACAGTCCGCGTCGCAGCAGCAGCAGCGAGGAGTAGGACGAGTAGGACGGCACGCGATTGGATTCTAGGGATGCTGACGTGGCGTAAGATAGGGTGCGCGATAACAGCGAAAGCGCTCGCCTTCTGTCCGCTCCTCCTCCCATTCTTTGCTCCCGGCTAGCTCGAGCCTGCCTGTCGTTAAAGGGATTCAAGCAACGAAATTGCGAGCAGTGGGTTGTGGCGGTTTGGGTAGAAAGGGATTAGTAATCTGCAGCGTGCGACGCGAGAAAGGCAAGAAGTGTTTACAGCGAGAGATTATAAATCCCGCTGCCCCTGGGCGCGCAGGGAAGCAGCGACTAACGAACGGCCTGCCGAGAACCGCGTTTGACGCGACGACGACAGCCCGAATACTAAGCGACTTCTCGCCGTTTCTCTACATGCACTATGTTAGCAGCAGTAAGTCCAGATTCGTGCTTTTGGATTGAGCCAAACTCTGCCTGCTGATGTGAGCCAAGGCAACCTACCACATCCGCTCGGAGGTATCTGTGTGACTCGTGACCTGTGAGGGAAGGGGCCAACATCACAGGCATGCAAAATAGTATGGTAACCCTATTCGATTGTATGCAAAACCGTCGATACCTCGGTTTTGGAGGTATTGACATATTGCTCTAGAATCGCGGTTCTATTGAATTCAAAAACGGAATTTTACCACGCTTTTCTTTCCTCTAAAATTCGATTTTTTCGGGCGACTGTTCTGCCATATGAGCAACACTGTTCGCTACACCTGCAGAAAAAATAAAACCCAATCGGAAAGGGATGCAACTCGGGAGGCATCAACCCTAAAAACAATGCCCTTTCCCGTGTTTAGGGTTGATCCCTCCCTGAAATGAGTCCAGGTCTCTAGTGGTTTTATTTTTTTTTCTTGCCTGCCCTGACAGTACCCGGTAGTAATATATATTACTTTCATTCCAACGAAGTTTTCGGTCGAAATTATCGTGCACATTCGACGGAAAATAGTTGTCCGCAGGAATCGTTGTCAGGCGCAAAACAAGGCGCGGTAAGAATAGAATGAAACGAAATCGAAAGCGTAATCGATTGTTGCACGTATTGCTTCCTTTTTGTGCTGCGTCAGCTGTTACACAGTGTTTTGAGTGGCGGTACCAGACAGATTTGCGCAGTGGAACTGGGGTATCGACGGTTTTGCATACAATCGAATAGGGTTACTAGACTGTTTTGCATGCCTGTGATGTTGGCCCGTGAGGGAAGTGAGTCGGGAAGGGTGTTGCTTGCTTGTCCCCTTTTATTTTTGCGAACGGAGACCAAGCAGCAACTTTCGGAAAAGGGGGGGAAAGGCAGCATGGCTCGCAACGCAAAAACATTTACTGCTCGAGTAGCTAACTCCCCCTGTAGAGTGTAGAGTCTCTAAGCACCGCCAGGAATGAGGAGAAATACTGTCTTGAAACTCGGAAACATGTTTCGCAAACTTTATCTAGTGTCACTTTTCCAAACAGATTACCCCTGCTTTGACAGCGTGGAAAGATCAGCCCGTGACATGTTATGCGTGTCAAGGTGCGCACAAAACCTGAACTGATATTTCATTGGCTCAGGGAGTATCTCATTCAACCAATAAAACAGTTTCCCCCCTACACCTCCACTTCTCCCAGCAACCAATCCAATCGGGCATTGGTACGATTGTACGTCTATGAGATAAGTTCGTACGTCGTATAAATCTCTTGGTTTACCGAGTGTTTCTGAATCGAGGACAACGCCGCACCTAGAACCTACAGATATCATCCAGCCCTCCCGACTGTGCCTTTTAGATTTGATCAGCTTCGCCAGCTGTAGTTGCAGTCTGGCCGCTGCGCTCCCTCCTGCTGTCTAGCGTCACCTCTGTTGTCTCTCCCCACTTGAATCTCACCGCGTTCCAGGGCCGTGCCCGTGGCAATAAGCCAAACATTAGCGGTGAGGGCCGGCGAAATGGCCAGCATTGTTCGTCCGTTGTTCCGAGCCGCGGCTCTGCCCAACCGGTTAGTCTGTAGAAGCAATTCGAACCAATCCTTACCAATGCGCACATACGATCCCATCCTCCTTCCTTCGTCCACTCCCCTCCTGCCACGTGTCACGCGCGGAAGCCCCGCCATCGCCGGCGTCCGCACCAGAATAGGGCAGGCGCGCGCACTGGCAGCGGCAAGCTCGCAGGGCGGAGCGGAAGCGAGTGGCGGAGCGGGCGCGGGGGGCGCGGAAGTCGAGGTTGGCGCGGGGAGCGGGCCGCGGCTGGTGATATACAGCCGCGAGGGGTGCTGCCTGTGCGACGGGCTGAAGGAGAAGATCGACACGGCGCTGATGATGGGAACTGAGAGCAGTGCGCTGGAGGGACTGCAGATTGAGGTGCGCGGAAGGGGGGGAGAGAAGGCGGAATGCGCATGGGGAATGCGGGGGGTTGGAGAATTGACACGGCGCTGATGATGGGAACTGAGAGCAGCGCGCTGGAGGGATTGCAGATTGAGGTGCGGGCGTGGTGGAAAAATTAGCATGGGGAATGTGGGAGATACGCTGCTGATGGGCACTGCAGTGCGCTGGAGGGACTGCAGATTGAGGTGCGCGGAAGGGGGGAGAGAAGGGGGAATGCGAGGGGTTGGAGTGGGGGAGGGGGGGGTGGGGTGGAAGGAAATGGGGGAGAAAATCGACACGGCGCTGCTGATGGGGACTGAGAGCAGCGCGCTGGATGGATTGCAGATTGAGGTGCGGGCGTGGTGGGGGGGAAAGGGAGAATGCGCATGGGGAAATGTGGGAGATACGCGGGAGGGGGGGGGGGGGAGAAGATTGATACGGCGCTGCTGATGGGGTCGGAGAGCAGTGCTCTCGAGCGATTGCAGATTGAGGTGCGCAGGAGGGTGGGAGAGGGGGAGGAGGGGGGAAGGGGGAGAGGCTAGGGGATGGGGTGGGGATGATGGGGGAGAGGAAGAGGGGAAGGAGTGTTGGGGAAGGTCAAGACGGCGCTGCTGCTGAGTGGGTCGGAGAGCAGTGCAGGTAGAGGTGCGCTGGGGAGAAACCCATCAAAATCCCCCATTCTCCATTCCCCATTCCCCCATTCTCCATTCCCCATTCCCCCATTCTCCATTCCCCATTCCCCATTCCCCGTTCCCCATCCCCCATTCCCCATTCCCCATTCCCCATCCCCCGTTCCCCATCTCCCATTCTACATCCCCCATTTTCAATCTCACATTCCCCATCCCCCATTCCCCACCACCCATTCCCCATCACCCGTTCCCCATTCTCCTTTCCCCATTCCCGCACCCCCCATTCCCCATGCCCCATCCCCCGTCCCCCATTTCCCATCCCCCATTCCCCATCCACCACTCCCTATTCCTCAATCCTCATTCCCCCCCTCACCATCCCCCGCTCCCCTTCCCCCATGCCCCATGCCCCAACCACCCCTTCTCATTCTTTATCCACCATCCCCAATTTCCCAACCACCATTTCCCCCGTCCCCCATCCCCCGATCCCCCTTCCCCGTCCCCCATTCCCCAGCCACAAATCCCTATTCCCCCTTCCCTGTGTATGTGCACGCACTGTGGCAGGTGCGCGACATAACAGCGAGGCAGGAGTGGATGGAGGCATATCAGTACGAGATTCCAGTCATGATGAGAGTGACGGTGGACCAATCAGGGAACGCTGTAGAGGTAGGCCTACTTGCTCTCTTAGATGGATGCATACCAGTATGATGCGCGGGACGGTGGACCAATCAGGGAAGGATGATGAGGTCAGCATGCTTGCATGCTGCTTGGCAGTGCCACCCTCCTACCTTGCTTGACATCCTTCGACATCTCACTTATATATATATTTATATATATTTTGTGTAAATATATGTATATACAAATATATGTACAGATATATATATATATGTGTAAATATATGTATGTATATATATCAGCTCCCTCCCTTCCCTTCCCCCTCCCTCCCTCCCTCTCTCCGCCCCTCTCCCAGACCCTCACTGTTGGAAACAGAATTGAGACGAGTGACTGAACTGAAAGGGCCGGGTGGCACAAATAGCTAACCTTAATCTAGGCTAACAAATCTAGCACAAACAATTTGACACTCATTCCCCGTCAGTCTCCCCGCGCATCAGTGGAGCGAGTGAGGGAGGCACCAGAGGTAGAGGCTGACTCTTAAGTGGCTACCCCCATTCCTCCCTCCATCCTCCCTCCCACTTGTCCTCCCTCCCCTCCAGACCCTCATTCCCCGCCAGTCACTCCGGGCATCAGTGGAGCGAGTGAGGAAGGTGCTAGAGGCTAACTCTTAAGTGAATTCCCCCTTTCATTTCCCCACCTCCCTCCTCCCACCCGCCCCCTCCTCCCCCCCAGACCCTCATTCCCCGCCAGTCACTCCGGGCATCAGTGGAGCGAGTGAGGAAGGCACTACAGGTTAACTCTTTGGTGAATCCCCCCTTTCATTTCCCCACCTCCCTCCTCCCACCCGCCCCCTCCTCCCCCCCAGACCCTCATTCCCCGCCAGTCACTCCGGGCATCAGTGGAGCGAGTGAGGAAGGCACTAGAGGTTAACTCTTTGGTGAATCCCCCCTTTCATTTCCCCACCTCCCTCCTCCCACCCGCCCCCTCCTCCCCCCCAGACCCTCATTCCCCGCCAGTCACTCCGGGCATCAGTGGAGCGAGTGAGGAAGGCACTAGAGGTTAACTCTTTGGTGAATCCCCCCTTTCATTTCCCCACCTCCCTCCTCCCACCCACCCCCTCCCCCCCAGACCCTCATTCCCCGCCAGTCACCGCGGGCATCAGTGGAGCGAGTGAGGAAGACACTAGAGGCCGCATTCTCAAGTTAAAGCTAAGGCCCGCCTCCTCCCTCTGCACATGCTCTCAGTGCCAGCTGCCATAGGTTCTTCTGTTCCTTCAGTTGACATTTGACGAAAGCACATGGCAACAGGGTCGGCTACGGCTAGCATTGGTTCTGTTGTTGATGGTCAAAACAAATAAAAAGGCAGCACCCCTTATCCTGAGACTGAATTTCATGAAACTTTTGCTCAGACCTCTGCATACCTTTTATCGTCCTCCAGATCCTGTTCAGTCCTCTTCATAAGCACCCCAAATTATGCTCTCTAGGCCAGGACTTGTCAGCAGTCCTGTCACCTGTGTATAATGCTCTAATAGATTGCAATGAAGGAAGAAATTTGTAGTCTTTGATTGCATTCATTCATTTATTCCTTTTGTTGCTCAAAGTACAGGTCAGGTTATTTCCTGAATTAATACAAGCCAGCTAGGCTTATCACCAGCTAGGCTATCTCCCCCGCATAAGCACATGCACTTGGTCACTGACAACAGGTCCCGACAACACAACCGAGCTTCCCGCCTTTTTTTTCCCGCCGATCGTCGCGCCGCGCCTGTCTTCTCCTCCCCATTGGATTGCTTTTCGGGAGAAATTGGTTGGGTTGGGATGGGAAAGACCGAGAGAATCCGCGGTTCTTGGGAACGCCTTCCAGTCGAATTCAAGAGCCAGATTCTGAAACTGGGTGCACTGAGCTATCTTCGAGGTACCAGAAACTGAGGCACTGATCGACCTAGAAAGCACTGGGGATTACGAGAAGTCTCAAGAATACTGGAAATATTGGACTTGACTAGACCTGACACTGTGTAAACTGGGAGAGATGGGAGCGTGAGTAGGTTAGTTCGACGTTGGATATTGAACCTACGATTTAGGAGGTCGGGTAGTTATCCAGGGTAGTACCGTGTTAGGCGTGACGTAACCGCAGCAATGCGCGCTCCGTCTTCCGCACTCGCGGAGATCGCGCAGCGCGCGTGCGCGACATCCCCGGCGGCCATGAGCAGGCGCGACTCCGCGGAACAAAACTCGAAGCCCGTTTCTAGGTTAGGCACGCCGGATCCCCGTTTCGACAAATCCAACGGCGGAGATGTGCCGATACCGTTGTACCACAAACCGCGGGGCAAGCGGGAAGGCCTGATCTACCGGCTCGTGGCGTTACTGCTGCAGCTGCGCCTGTCCTCCGCATCCGTTGTTCTCTCTTTGCTGGCGATTCTCCTCGTGTTGTTAGCGGTGGTCGGCCGGAGAGGGACCGATGCGAGTTTGCAATTTGGCGATAACTTACTGGCGGGTAGTGAGGGCATAGAGGTGAGGCCGACCGTCGCAGGTGACGCAGGCGACGCGGGAGAGATGACGTGGATGGAGGTGGAGCGGCTCGCGAGGGGCGGCGCGCGAGCGCAGGACCGGTTCGGGTTCGGAAGCCTGAAAGGCGACGGGGGGAGCGAGAATGTTGAAACGCTCGCAACGAGCGGAGAGAAAGGTACGAGCGAGAAGGGCGAGACGGGCGAGGTGGTCGGGAGTAGCGGCATTTCTGCGGTTGACTCGGTTGACTGGGTTGACTTCAAAAACTTGGTTGTTCACGCGGCAATCGATCTCCCGGACTTTATCCTCGTCCTTCTGCGGCCACTGGCTCCATCTAACCCGCCAAAATCCGACGTGGCAGCTGGTTACACGGCCGCTGACGTGGCAGCTGCCGCTGGTAATCGATCTTCTGAGGAAGCCTCTAGCGGAATTTTTAGGAACGCTCGGTTCGGCCGGGCTCGAGTGTCGCAGGAGCAGCTGGAGCGGATAAAGGGGATGGAGTGCAGCTTCGGGGAAGGCTCGCTGACTGCTCGCACGCGGGTGCTACAGGTGTCGGCTGATGGGCTCGACGCTGTGGGCGACGTCGGCGACTTGAGCGACGTGAGCGATGCGAGCGACGTGGGCGACGAAAGAAGCAGCAGCAGTGGGGGCAACAGCGATAGCAGCAGGGACAGGGCGGAGGGGGCGACGGGGGGAAGCAGCAGGCGACGGTTGGCGACTGTAGGAGTGTCGCAGGAGCAGCGAGGGGACACCGGAGTGGGGGTGCAAGGGGCGGCCGGCGAGAAGGCAGGCGGGAACGGGACGAGGGAAGAGGGAAGGAGAGGGATGGGAGAAAGGCAGGTGGGAGGGATGGAAGGAGGGAAGGTCGGAGAGGCGATTATTGGTGTTATCTACTTGCACTGCGCTCGGCCCGCAGGGGAGATTGCGACGGTAGCTGCAAACACAGGCAATAGCAGCAGCAGTAACAGCACCAGCAGCGGGAGCAGTGACAGCAGCAGCGGTGGCAAGGGTGTGCAACTGACGCTAGAAGACAAGGCAGGCGGGCGGCTGGGCGGCTCAGTCGTGTGGCAAGCGCTGAACCACAAAAAGAGGCCGCCGCCCCTAGTGTACGATGCAGTGACGGTGCGGAGGCGGGAGAGGAAGGGGAGGGAGGGGAGGGAGGGGAGGGGGAGAGGTTATGATGGGAGGGAGGAGAAGGGAGATACAGTGGAAGGGGAAGAGGGGGAGGAGAGGGAGGGGAGGGAGGGCGTGTATCTGTTCGTGAGGGGCCTGCAGACCAACCCGCACCTGCCGCCTGTGCTGGCCAATGTGACGTGCGTGTTTGGCGCGGATGGGGGGATTGGGGGGGCTGGCGCAGGAGGAAGCGGCGGCAAGGGCGAAAGGGGCAATGATTGGGGAAGTGTCAGTGAGGGGGCGGAGCAGGAGGGGCTCTTGCGAGTGCCGGCGCGGGCTGCTGCTATGGAGGTGGTGTTCTGCCCTCTGCCCGCCTATGTTGGTGCTGATGGTGGTACTGCCAACAGCAGCAGCAGCGGCAGCAGCAGCAGGGACGGCACTGGGGTGGGTGCAGCAGGGAAGGTCGCAGATTTAACCATGCGGGCAGTGACGGTGGAGTATGAGGGGCGGCTGTTCCCGTCTGTAGCGCTCTTTGACCCTGTTGACCCGTTTGACCAGCCCGAGGCGCCTCACGGGCAGCAGGAGGGGGGCGAAGGATCCAACGGTCAGCATAGCAGCGATGGGAGTCGGTTTGGTGATGTTTTGAATACTGACAGTGCTGGTAATGGCAGTAGTACGAATGTGGGGACTAAACAGGATGCGGGAGTGGAAGCAGCAGAGGAGGTGGGAGACAGCATGGTGGGTCAAAGCGGACTGAATGGGATAGTGGGGAATAAGAGGAGGAGGAAGGAGAAACCGCACTTTGTGTGCATGTGCACGATGATTTTCAATGTGGGTAAGTTTCTGCGCGAGTGGGTGGTATACCACCACTGGATGGGCGTGGATCGGATCTTCCTGTATGACAACAACAGCGAGGACAACACGACAGCTGTCGTCGCCAGCCTGGCAGCGGACGGCGGCGCTCGGCTGGTTGTGGGCACGCCGGCCGGCCAGGCTGCGGCTGCGGTGGTGGCAGAGGCGGCAGCACCGGGAGGGGGAGGGGGAAAGGAGGGACGGTTAGGAGGGCTGGAAGGTGGCGCTATGGCAGGAGGGGAGGCGGGGATTGAGGGGGCGAAGTGGTGGGTGCGGGCGGGGTTTGTCGGCTCTACTCAGAACCAAAGCCACGGCGCATCTCCATCACTAGTAGAGCCTTCTTCCCCCTCCTCAGTCTCCTCCTCTTCCACCTCTTCGTCGTCCTCCTCCTCCTACTCCTCCTACTCCTCCTCCTCCTCCTCCTCCTCCGCCCCTCACTCTCACCCCTCCACTCCAGTGGTAACCGTACACCCGTGGCCGTGGATCAAGTCGCAGCAGGCGGGGTTCTCCCACTGTGTGCTGCGGGCAGCGCGGCAGTGCGAGTGGGTTGGCTTCATAGACGTTGACGAATTCGTTGCCCCCAAGTTCATCGCACATATCGCTGAGAAAAGGAAGGATTTGGGGGAGGAGGTGCGGGAGAAGGGGGTTTTCATTCCGCATTTGCTGAGACGGGTGGTGAGGGCGAGTGAGAAGGAGATTGAAGAGGTGGTTGCGAGGAAGGTGGGTGGGGAGGGGAAGGGAGGAGGGGAAGGGGGGAAGGGTGGGAGCAGGCGGAGGAGAATGGCGGGTGGTGGCAGGCGGGAGGTGCGGGGTGGAGGGGATGGGGAGGAGAGGCGGATGGGCGGGGGTGTGAGGGAGAGAGAGGGGGAGGAGGTGCGAGGTGTGGCAGGAGCAGCAGATGTGGCAGGTGCAAGGGAGAGTGGAGGCGTGGGGGGAGGTGTGGGTCGGAGACTGCTTGCTGGTGGTGATAGGGGTGAGGGTGAGGGTGGGGGTGAGGGTGAGGGTGAGGGTGAGGGTGAGGGTGAGGGTGGGGGTGAGGGTGAGGGTGAGGGTGAGGGTGAGGGTGAGGGTGAGGGTGAGGGTGAGGGTGGGGGTGAGGGTGAGGGTGAGGGTGAGGGTGAGGGTGGGGGTGAGGGTGAGGGTGAGGGTGAGGGTGAGGGTGAGGGTGAGGGTGAGGGTGAGGGTGAGGGTGAGGGTGGGGGTGGGGGTGAGGGTGAGGGTGCGGAGTTCAGGAAAAGCAGCAAAGGGAGTAAGGCAGGAAAGGGAGAAAAGAGCAAGAAGAGCAAGTCGAGCAGGGGTAGCAAGAAGGACGAAGGTGATAAGGAAATGAAAAAAGGAAAAGGGAAAGGTAGTAAAGGGGGCAAACGCGATGGGAAGCAGGCCAAGAAGAATAAACAGGCAAACGAAGAGGAAGAAGAGGAGGAGGATAAGGAGGAGGGGGTGACGAAGGGGGGCCTGGAGACGAAGACAAAGAAGAGGAAGAGGGAATGGCAGGAAGGTGACAACGAAAGCAGAAGCGACAGGGACAGTGACAGCGGCAGGAAGAGCACGGCAGGAGGCAGCATGGAGAATGAGAGAGCCGAAGACGATGTGCGGCCGCTGGGGCAGATCTCCTTCCCCTGTGTGGACTTCGGCCCCTCAGGCCTCACAGAGCACCCCCAGCAGGGGGTCTCGGTGGGGTACACGTGCCGTGCGCGCAAGCCCGACCGCCACAAATCGTTTGTGCGGCCCGAGGCCGTGGCGGATTCACTGCTTTGCCACATCCACCAGTTCGAGCTCAAGGAGGAGAAATATCGAAGTCAAGTGTTTTCCGGGAGGGTGCGACTGGCGAATATCAACCACTACAAGTTCCAGGTGGGTGGGTTGTGCTGTGCTCCTTGAAGGGCTTGCTGCCGTGCCACATCCACCAGTTTGAGCTCGAGGAGCGGTACCGCAGCCAGGTGTTTTCGGGGAGAGTGCGACTGGCGAACATCAACCACTGCAAGTTCCAGGTGGGTGGGTGGAGGTAGGCGGGTGGGTTGATGGCTGCCCTTGACTTAGTGAGTCTCAACCACTAGTAGTTCCAGGTGGGTTGTGCAGTGGGAAGCGTGAAATGTGCGTTGGTAATCCGAATCCACCTCAGGTAGTCCCATTGCCCCCCTGTTTCTCTCGTGCAGTCCCATTGCCCCCCTGTTTCTCTCGTGCAGTCCCGTTGCCCCCCTGTTTCTCTCGTGTCCTCTGTCTGTGCCAAGTATCGGCGGCGAGTCGCGACATGCACCAAGGACTGGAAGGGGGCGAAGCACAACAGCAACGGCATAATAGCTCAGTGCAGGGACGTTCGAGTTAAACTCAAAATTTTCCTCACTAGCCATGCCCTCCCCTTGCTTCTGCGTTGTCCTGTCAGGTGTGGGACGAGTTTAAGGCCAAGTATCGGCGGCGAGTGGCAACATACACCAAGGACTGGAAGGGGGCGAAGCAAAACAGCAACGATTTAATACGTGGGCTGGGGACAGATGCAGTGGAGCCTCCTGATTGGGCGGGTCGGTTCTGCGAGCGCAACGACACCGTGTTGAGGGATTTTGTGAAGCTGGCCTTCGCTGTGAAGGACGGGAAAGGAGAGGATCGGAGGAATCGGACGTGTTTGGCGTGGTAGTGAAGGAAATCCATCCAGCAGTAATTGTATAGAATTTAGGCAGCCAACATCAGTACCGTAGCATGGTTAGGAAAGTCTTCTCTACTAAAAACTATCCTAAACTTGATTTGTATGAAGTGGCTTGCTTAGTGATGCGAGCGAGTGCAGTACAGAAGGTAATCAAAATATTGTACATAGATAAACATTTTTCCCGATTCACTGCATCATCCGATTCCGGGTACCCACACATAGAGACTGCCCTTAGCGAACCGTTCCATCGGGGTGCTTGTTCAGCTGCTCTTGAACGTGTCGAACACCTATTAGTGCATATCGTATGCGAACCTGGTGAGTCACCGATTCGTCACTTATTCCGTCAGCATCAGACTCGGGCAGACACTCCAAGTCTTACAGAGTTTTACGGTAAAACTTTTACCTGCTCTGCTCTGGTCTGGGGTGTCGCTGCGCGTGGGGGCCATGGCTGCCGCTTGCGCCTCGCATTCGCCCGCCCCCGTGCTGATTCCTCCGTCGATCTCTCCGCCGATTCTTCCGCTGATTCCTCCGCTGCCCGATGACGTCAGCATCGCGTGCCTGGCTCGCCTCAATCTCTGGGACCTCGCGGTCGCGCGCTGCGTCTCCCGCGGCTGGGCGGCGGCGATTGCGAGCGACGCGTTCGCGCAGCAGCGGCGGCGGCAGCAGGCGCTCGGCGCGCAGAGGGTGCGGAGGGTGGTGACGCGCCACGGGGCGGACTGCGCGTCATGCGCGCAACGCGCGGATTGCGCGGAATGCGCGTCGTCCTCTACGTGCTGCCCACACAGGGACGCCCGCGATTGTATAGAAGGTAGAAGCGAATGTGATGTTAACGGGGTAAACGGCTATGTGTGTCTGTGCGCGGCGAGCAGGCGGCATCCCGGCCGCCTAGACTGGTTCGCCTTCGACCTCTCCGCTCCTTCGCGCGCCGCCGACGCCCTTCCCCCCGCCTCCGCCGCCTCCGCCGCTTCCGCCGCCGATTGCGGCGGCAACAAGGGAACGCGATGGACGTTTAGCGGAAGCGCCTGTAACGAATCGCGTCGGAACGCGGAGGGCGCAGGAAGCTCCTGTAGCAGCGGCGGCAGCAGATTCCGACTGTCAGCATGTGGACGGTCAGGATGCGGCGGGCTCTGTGGATCCAATGGTTACGGAAGATGGCGCCGGCTGCCGCCCATCCCGCCGTCCAATCCGCACGGGTCGCAGCGCTGCCGCCATTTCTCAGTCGCCGCCATTCCCGGTTGGGGCCTCGCGATTGCAGGGGGAGTGGTACTGGGGACGGGAGAGGCGGTCCGCCACGTGTCACTGTTTGATTGGCTGGCGGGGCGGTGGGTGCAGGTGCAGCATGAGGGGTTTTCAGCGCGGTTGGATCCGGTGGTGGTGTGGGCGGGGGGGAGGCTGTTCGTGGGGGGAGGAGGGGAGATCGGGGGAAAGGGGAAGATGGGCGGAAGGGGGAACGTTTGGGGCGCAGGTATGGGCGGAGTGCAAGGAGGGGGAGAAGTGGAGGGGGAGAGGATGAGGTGTGAGGGGGGAAACACAGGCAGAGAGGGGGAGGGGAAGGAAGAGGGGATGAGGGATATTCCAGTGAGCGAAACAACATCTGTCATTGAGCTGCCCGCGCTGGTACCCAAACTACCCACGCCACCCACACAACCCACAGAACCTAAGCTACCCACGCCCATCAACCCCTCTGTGAATCTGGGCCTTCCCACACACCCTGGGGATTCTCCTGCCCATGCCATTGCCAGCTCCTCTGATGCCACTCTCTCCCCCCTCTCCACAGCCCCCTACTCCTCCTCCTACTCCTCCTCCACCTCTGCGTCTTCTTCCTCCTTGCTGTCCTCCTCCCCCGCATCTCTTCAATCCCCATCCTCCTCCTCCCCCACATCCTTACCCCCTTCACCCTCACTCTCGCCTTCAAGCACACCAATGCCAATAACCAGAGTGAATGTAACAACCGCACTTCACCCCTCCATCTCCCCCCGCTCCTGCGACATCATCCGTGCTGGTAACCGCGTGTACGCGCGTTACCGCCACCGCCTCACCTGCTTCTCCGACCACCCCACGTCCCCCTCAGCCGCCCCTGCTACAGCTGCTGCTACAGCCAGTGCCAGTGGTGGCGGGTGTGTGCTACAGCTGGATGTGAGCAGTGGGAGGTGGAGCCTCGCCCCCCCATGCGACCCTATCCACCGCCTAGCTACGGCTGGCATGCTCGCTCTGATACCATCATTGCCTTGTGCACACACACGCTCCCCCCACGCTCTGATACCACCATCGCCTTGCCCACGCTCATGCTCCCATGCTCTGATACCACCATCAGATTCTATACACACGTGCAGCCATGCCCCCCTGCGGCCCTCTTCGTGTGCACATCGCCATGCATGTGGCTGGGCGGGCGGCGCTACAGTGGCAGCGGTACAGCATAGCTTGTCTCTTCTGCTGCTACAGGGCGAGCCAAACGCCTCTCCCTGCAAAACCCCCTGCACTGCTTGCTCCAAGCGGCATCAGCGGCAGCTAGAAAATCAGGAACACCAAGGGAGGTGGGATGTGTGGCGAGAAGGAGCATGCGTATGGGAGATGGCAGGGGGAGCAGCGGGAGGAGGAGGGGGAGGAGAGATTCTGTGGGGGGCGCAGTTGAAGCAGGTGGTGGTAGCGGGGGGAAGGCTGTTTGCGCTCGTGCTGCTGGTGGACCGAGGGAGGCATGAGATGAGGGAGATGGGTGTGCATGGGAAGCTCGCAGGTGTGGTGGGGCCGGGAATAGAGCTCCCAGGGGAGGCATATGTGGCGCATGCGGTGGGGCTGTGTCTCTAAGTACGGTGCATTGGGTTGGGGTGGTGTATTGTGCTGCTGGTGGACCGAGGCAGGCATGAGATGAGAGAGATGGGCGTGCATGGGAAGCACGCAGGTGTGGTGGGACCGGGGATTGAGCTCCCAGGGGAGGCATATGTGGTGCATGCGGTGGGGCTATGCGTCTAGATTCGGTGCATTGGGATGGTGTATTGTGCTCCTGGTGGATCGGGGCAGGCATGAGATGAGGGAGATGGGCGTGCATGGGAAGCAGGCTGGCGTGGTGGGCCGGCGGTGGAGTTGCCAGGAGAGGCGTATGTGGCGCATGCAGTTGGCCTGTGTGTCTAGGTATGGTGCATTGGGGTGGTGTATTGTGCTGCTGGCAGACCGAGGCAGTTAGAGATGAGGGAGATGCAAGGGAAGCGTATGTGGCGCATGCGATGAGGGCTGTGCGTCTAGATACGGTGCATCGGAGTCTGGTTAGCTTGAATGTGAGACAGTTCCTTGTGAAGATTTGTCTGTACAAAAAAGCTTAAGCATTGAAAAATCTCTCCCCGGCATGAGGTGAGGGATATGGGCATGCGTGCATGAGAGGCATGCGATTTACATACACCGAGAGTGACAACAAGTGCTGTTTGCAGTCAGGGAATGCTATGCAGTGAAAGGCAGGTTGGGTAGAAGAACCTGGGTGGGTGTAGGAGTGTGTTGGAAACATGTAGTTTGCGCTTCTGATGTCTCGAAGCATTAAATCATAAGCGAGGCAGACTACAGTGAAGCAACAGCGAGTCAACCGAAGAGGGTGTCTAAAGGCCTCAATATCCTACACCTAGTTTATAGAAGACAATGCATTGCACTTGAGGTGTTAAAAAAATAAAACAGCTCCACAACTGTACAATAGCAGGTCACCAATACGTAGCACGTTTAGTACCATGTAGTTTTCTCGGCGTCTCTGGTCTCTTGTATCGCACCGGAAGCACCTAAAAACGAATACTTCCAATTCCAACCCTATTTCCCCACGCACAAAATTACTCAGGGTTCTGGTCTGGACTTCGGGTTTTCACTTTCCACCTTCAGTTCCGCTCCGCTTAGAAACAACTGACAGTCGGATTAGTCGTTCGTTTTCCACGAAACTTTTGCGAGCAAGTAACAGCAGTCTCAATACCTGTTGCGACTATGGCCTTTTCTCCCGCTGCGACCCGGTCCGTAGGGAAGGGCAAACAGTGGCCGAAGAGAGGCGGAGCAGGCAGCTCGCCATACGCGCGGGGCGGTGGGGGAACAGTGGACGAGGGGCACAAAGGGGAGGAAATTGGCGAAAGGGGTGGTAGTGGGGAGGGGGGGGTGCCGGATAGCGGGCGGAAGGAGGAAGCGGCGGATGGCGCGCGGAAGGAGGCAGGGGCGGAAGTGGGGCGAAAAGATGCAACGGGAGGGGAGGCGGGCCGGAGTGACGTGGATAGAAACACGGTGTTTGTGCGCAACGTCTCGTTTAAAGCCACACAGAGCGATGTGGGTGTCTATTTCAGTGCTGAGTGCATCTCTTACCGCGGACGAATTCCCTCTAGCGTTACTCGCAGGTCGAGGGGATTTACGAGTTTATCCCTGTGCATACGCGTTATTGGCTCTTTGTCGTATCCGAGCGAGCCGCTGGGCCTTCTGAAAACCTATTTGACAATGCAAACAGCAAGAGCACGTTAAGTCGTTCAACCCTAATCCCTTCAGCCTGAAGGGTTTTTCTTGACTGTGGGTGCCATCCAAAAGTGCTTCCCAGTGGCACAGCGATGATCAATACTGTGTGTATTTCCCTCCTCTCCACTCCATCCAAGTAACCTTCTCACGTCGCGTCCCTTTTGAACCCAAAACCCTTGAACACAACACACCCCACCCCTATCCTTGCAGCTAGAGGGTTATTTTCTCGACTGTGGTTGCGATTCGAAAGTGCCTCCTTGTGGCACGGAGATGATCAATACTGAGTGCATTTCCCTCCCCTCCCCTCCAAGTAACCTCCTCACCTCGCGTCCCTCTCCCGCCCCATCCCTCCCACCCCCCTCCCCCTCCCTTGCAGCTGGAAGATTTTTTCTCTACGGTGGGCGCTATCCGAAAATGCCTCCTTGTGGCACAGACAGCCGCAGCACTGAATGCCTTATCCCAGCCTTCTTCCTCCTCCGTCTCATCAACCCCCACCTCCACACGCATTCCCCTCCTACCCGCAGCTCGAGGGTTTTTTCTCGACGGTGGGCCCTATCCGAAAGTGCTTTCTGGTGGCACAGAGAGGTGCGTCACTGCCTCCTTTACTGATGGGGATAATTTCTATTTGCACCTCCTGTATCGACGGGGAGAAGTGCTTTTTGTACCTCCTTTATTAATGTGGATAAGTGCTACGTTCTTTATTGATAGGGATACGTGCTACATTCATATGGCCTACATTAGCTTTGATTAATTCCCCTCCCCTGCCTTTCATCCGTCCTCTCATCTCCTCCTCTCATCTCTTCCTCTCATCTACCCCTCCCATCTACCCCTCCCATCTGCCCATCCCATCTGCCCCTCCCCATCTGCCCCTCCCCATCTGCCCCTCTCATCTGTAATCTCATCTGCCCTCTCGTCTGCCCTCTCATCTGCTCCTCTCATCTGCTCCTCTCGTCTGCCCTCTCATCTGCTCCTCTCATCTGCTCCTCTCATCTGCTCCTCTCATCTGCTCCTCTCGTCTGCCCTCTCATCTGCTCCTCTCATCTGCTCCTCTCATCTGCTCCTCTCATCTGTCCTCTCATCTGCTCTCTCATGTGTGGTGATTTCATTTGCACTTCAGGCGCGGAAACACATCGAGGAATGGGATTCGTGCAATAGTGAGTGCAGCTCGCGTCTGTTTCTTGCGCCATGGGTGATTCTTCCTGCTCATGTGTCTTGAAAATCTATGGTTCCAATCCACATTTAGTGTTCTTGCATGGTTCTTCACCCCTTCTTTCTTGCACCCCCAACCAACCTGAGCATGCCTGTCAAACCTGAGGGAGCATGTCCTTTTGCACCCCACCTCGCGTTTCCTTGCAGGCAACTTCCTGCATCCCTCCCATCGACCTCGCCCTTTTCTGCCTCCAACCTCCCCACCTTCCGATTCCCAACCCGACCGACCAGAACGCTAGCAGAGGACGCAGAGAGGGCAGTGAGAGAGCTTGGAGGGAAGCGGCTGGAGGAGGGCATACCCACTGACCCGCCGCACATCTTACTCTCCTGCCTCCAACCTCCCCACCTCCCGGTTCCCAACCCAACCAGCGTGCTAGCAGAGGACAGAGATAGGGCAGTGAGAGAGCTTGGAGGGAAGCGGCTGGAGGGTATACCCACCCGCTGACCCGTCGCGCATCTTACTTATCACAGCTCCTTGCTTCGTCTTGCACTCCCTGCTAACTGGTACCTGCTTTTCCTCCTGCCCACCCTCTTACCCGCCACCATCCATCAGCGCTCTAGCAGAGGACGCAGAGAGGGCAGTGAGGGAGCTCGGGGGAAAGCGGCTGAGAGCGCATAGCTCCTTGCTTCCGCTTGCACCCCCTGCTAACCAAACCGGTACCCCCTCTTCCTCCCGCCCCCGCCCCCACCATCCACCAGTGCGCTAGCAGAGGACGCGGAGAGGGCAGTGAGGGAGCTCGGGGGAAAGCGGCTGGAGGGGCGACCCCTGGCAGTGGAGCTGGCGAAGAGGCGAGCTTCTCTGGGCGAAAGGCTGGCTAAACGAGGCCCGCGCCCGCAACGTGAGTGAACAAGGCGAGGACATTTAGTTAGCAGGTGGAGAGGCGAAGCGTTTCTTGGGTGGCTGGAGGGGCGACCTCTGGCAGTGGAGCTGGCGAAGAGGAGAGCTTCTCTGGGCGAACGGCTGGCCAAACGAGGCCCGCGCCCGCAAGGTGGGTGGGGAAACGGAGGCAGGTAGGGCACTTATGATCTAGCATGGGGGGCAGTATTGCCTGGGAGGGAAAGCGGCTGGAGGGGCGACTTTTGGCAGGAACTGGCCAAGAGGGGGCCGCGACCGCAAGGTGAGTGGGGGAAGGGCAGGCAGGAGAACTAGCAAGGGAAGGGAAAGGGTGGCTGGAGGGGAGACCTTTGGCAGTGTAGCTGGCGAAGAAGAGAGCGCCTATGGCTCTGAGGGACAGGCTGGCTAAGCGAGGGCCGTGACCACAAGGTGAATGGGAGGAGCAGGAAGACAGCAGGCGGAGAGCGGGCAGGGCAACTAGCTCGAAAAGGGCGGCCTGTCTTTAGCACCTGCATCTAGGGAGCGGCTGGCAAAGGGCTGCAAATGGAAGGTGAGGAGCAGCTGGTCGCCTGCTGTTTTCCTTGGAGATCTCTCAAGAATCGCTCACAAGGAGCGGTGTGATGGTTGGTTGCTAGCTCTCTCCCTTGCTTCCATCCATATCCCCTTGGAGATGTCTCAAATTATGGTCGCTAGCTCTCTTTCTTGCATCCATCTCCCTCCCTTCTCCGGCTCCAGTCTCTCTCTTGGTTTCTGCAGCCCATCAAGTGGAGGACCAGACCAGGATGACTTGACCGGGTTGCAAGGGCTGGGGAGAAGCAGCGGTGGTGCTGCTGCTCTTGCTGCTGCTTTAATTCCTTGCTCCCACCCACCCACCCCTCTCTCTGTGCCTGCAGCCCATCAAGTGGAGGACCAGGATGATCTGACTGGCCTGCATGGGCTGGGGAGGAGCAACGTGATGGTTCCTCCTAGTTCCAACCATGTCTTTGGTGCTCCAAGTTCCCTTTTGCTCCTATCGCTCCCTCGGTTCCTGCAGCCCATCAAGTAGAAGACCAGGATGATCTGACCTGACGGGCCTGCACGGGCTGGGAAGGGGAGGCGCAACGCGATGGCTCCTCCAACCAAGCCCCCCCTGCCCCCATTGCTTCCTTATTCCCATCTCTCTCTGTGTCTGCAGCCCATCAAGTAGAGGACCAGGATGATCTAACGGGCCTGCATGGGCTGGGGAGGAGCAACGACCCACATGGTGCAGGGAGGAGGAGTGGCGGCGCTACAGATGTCATGGGGAGAAGAATACCCACTCGCATCACCACCTTCCCTGCTGCTGACGCCGATGCGCCTGCTGCTCCTCCTCCTCCTCCCGCTGCTCCTGCTGCTCCTGCCACGAGTGCTGTCGCTGCCGCTCCTGCTGCTGCTGCTGTGAGCGCACCCGCTGGTGCCAGTGACAAAGCATCAGCTGTAGCAACACCAGGCAAGGGGGCTGAGGGTAGCAGCAAGAAGGAGAACAAGGAGAAGAAGGAGAAGAAGGGCAAGAACGCTCAGCCTGCCGCTGCTGCTGCCACTACTTCTGTGGCTACTGCAACTGCTCAGATTGCTGCTGCAGCAACGGCAGAAGGAGGCAGCAAGAAGGAGGGAGGCGGATCTTCGCTAAAGCAGAGGTAAGGCAGCTTGCAGCCGTTCTGGTATTCACATTTCTAGAGAACTCTTGCACGTTTTGTCTGTTCCTTGCAAGTTGCACATGCACACTGCAGTTTCTTGCTGCTGCTGCTGCCTGCTGTTATGCCAGTCTTCTCAACACGAACCCACCACTACCGTCCTCTCTCCCATTCCCAGGCCAGCCTGCACTGTCGTTTCTCCCCCTGGCAGCAGTGGCTCATGTCCTCTCTGCTGTTGCTGCCGTCGCTACTCCCCCTTTCCTTGGATAGTCCAACCTTTCCCCCCCTTTCACGCCTCTCGTATTTTCCCCCTTTTCCAGGCCAGCCCGCACGGTGGTGTTTGGGGCCTCTCATCCCCAGCACCAGTGGCACATGTCTTCTCTGTCGCTGCCGCCATCGCTGCTCCTGAGGAGGTCACCAATCCTTTCCTTCCCCTTCCCACCTTGTTCGTTCCTCACTTGTATCTCCCAGGCCAGCCCGCACGGTGGTGTTTGGGGGGCTCTCATCCCCAGCAGCAGTGGCGCATGTCCTCTCTGCCACTGCTGCCATCGCTGCTCCTGAGGAGGTCACCAACCCTTCTCTTCCCCTTCCCACCTTGCTCGTTCCTCACTTGTATCTCCCAGGCCGGCTCGCACGGTGGTGTTCGGAGGGCTCTCATCCCCAGCAGCAGTGGCGCATGTCCTCTCTGCTGCTGCCGCCATCGCTGCTCCTGAGGAGGTCACCAACCCTCTGCCTGAAGATGCTCTAAAGGAGAGAGGTGAGTGAGGTTTGATTTGTATGTACAGTATTGTTGAAGTCAACTCCAGACATCACTGTCGTCGCTGCTCCAGATGAGGTCACCAACCCACATAAGATGCTCTAAAGAAGATGCTCTCAAGGAGAGAGGTGAGGTTCAATCTGATCTCACATTGGCCGTTACACTGCCGGCCTGCTGCCGTCGCTGCCGTCGCTGCTCCAGACCAGAGGAGGTCAAAAGCCCTCTGCCAGAGGATGCTTTAAAGGAGCGAGGCGCGGATAACTTGTATCATTGTGGCTTTTGATTGAGTCAAACGTCACCTAGGCTCTTTCTCGTTGTCTCCCTCTCTTTGTCTTCTGCTTTTGCAGTTCCTCACTCAACCCACCCACCTTCTTTTGCATGCCCTCCGTCTTTTCCCCCACCAGGCCTTGCCCTTGATGACTGCACACCAGGCTGTGGCATCACTGCACGGCTGGGCGGTGGTGGTATGAATGTAGGTATGTATGAATATACCTCAAGCACCTTCTCTTCTGCCTTCCTTTTCCCCACCTTTTTCCAGGCCTCGCCCTTGATGGCTGTACCCCCCCTGCCGTCTCGATCGTATTCCCATCGGTGCGGGCCGCCCGCCAGGCTGTGGCATCGCTGCACGGCTGCACAGTGGAGGGCGGCGCCGAGGCTGGTGGCTCGGAGGAGCAGAGCGTTGCTGTGTGGGCGAGGCAGCTGGGTGGCGAGGTGGGTGAATGGGGAACAAGGTAAGAGGTGGGGTGCATGGCTGTGAGACTGGCAGGCCATGGCCTTGCTGCACGCACAGGAGTACGGCACAGGGCGGTATGAGTGCACGGAGCACAGCGTTGCTGTGTGGGCGAGGTGAGTGGTTGACGGGCAAGGGTAGGTAGAGGTGGGGTGTGAATGGCTGTGAGACTGGCAGGCCATGGTGTTGGCACACACACCCGCGGGTGTATGTTGCAGGGCGACACGCGGGCAGAGCATTACAGTTTGGGCTGTGTGGGTCCCGTCCCAGGGATGGCAGGCAGGCTGTGCTGTGGCAACCTCAAGACGTGGTTTGCATTGCATGATGCAGAGTGTCAGTGGTGTGGTGGTGGATAGAAAGGTGATGCTTTACCTTGTGTCTGCAGCGCTTCCTCGCTGCCTCTCTTCTCAACCTCTTTCCTCTCCCGCCCAACCATGTCATTTTCATGTGTATACATGAATGTGTGGTCATCTGTATCTGTATGAATGCATGTGTGTTCATATCATCTGTATGTGTATGAAATTCATACTATGAATGCATATTCGCAGGGTTCAAAGACGCTCAGCAATCGGGTCATTGTTCGCAACCTGCCCTTCAAGGTGCGAACATTGCGTGCAAAGCATGTTAGTTGTTGCTCTTTGAAAATTTCTCTTGAGGCGCCTCAGATGCTGTGCACAGCGGCTTGGTAAACTTCTTTATCGTAAAGTACTTGTTGATTGAAAGGCATTGCCGTACCTGTTCGTCGTTGTCCTATTCAATCAACTTTAAACTGCCATGCTAGTACACAAAAATAATAATGAGATACACGTCTCAAAACCTGATTGCTTGCTTCCATTATAGTTCACATCACTCACTCTCCTGTGATCGGGGTGTCTACATGTTTCTTTGCATAATTGTTTTGTGGTGCGTGGTGAGCGAATGACGCGATGCCAGGTGGCAGAAGCGGATTTGAGGAAGGCCTTTGCTGTTGCCGGCTTTCCATGGGCCGTCAAGATACCACATGGGGAGGATGGCAGGTAAGAGGTGGTGCAGGTGAGAGCAGGTGCAGGTGAGAGGTGGTGCAGGTGAGGGGATGGAAGTTGGGAAGTTGGGTGGATGACAGGCAGGTGGGATTTGGTGCAATACGGCAAGGCAAGGTGAGAGTGCAGCATGTGAGGCGAATGATAGGTGAGCGTATGGGAGGTGAGGTCTGGTGCAAGTGGTTTGATGGGACGGGAGATGGGTGAATAGCAGGTGGGTGCATGTGAGATTTGTGATACCTGCTCTTGATCTTTGTTATGGATAATCGATGGAGACCATGTCTACAGAAGCAACACAAATAGACATGGGCACCCTTTGGATCTTGTTTTGGCTGATCTCGCTCCCTCGGTGCCTGTGATTCATTGCCCCCTCTTTACTGTGTGCACGCAGGCCTCGAGGATTCGCTTTTGTCACATTCACTACAAAGAGCGACGCAGCAAAGGTGAAAGCCTGTCCTGACTGTTTAACTCACAAGCTCACACACAGACACACAGCAACCTGCCAACCTGATACTGACACACAGCATCAGACAGACTGGCGGGACAGGTAAAGAGATGCATGAGGCACACATATTTTTGGCTCATGCATCCATGATGCTGTCTGTCTGATGTACAGGTAAGATATCCACGAGCCACACGCATCCAGAGAGTATTCCGCATTCCCAAAGAGATGATGACTTTTGAGTTGGCTCGAAATTCACACTCTGACTGACAGCACATGTCAAGAGATGCATGAGCCTTACAGATTTTTCCCCTTCCCTTCCAGGCCTGAGATAGTGCAACACACTCCCCCCCTCCTCCCACCCCCCCTCCCCGTCCCATCCTCCTTTCTTCAGTCAGACAGAAGACGGGATTTTTAGTCAGTCAACAGTGCACGGGATAGTCAAACCGACCGCCTCCACACATTTTCTCCCTCCTCCGCCCCCTCCTCCTCTCCCTCCCCTCCTCCTTTCTTCTGGCAGGCTATTGAGAAGGTCAGCGGCACGACCATCAACGGCCGAGCCGTTTCGGTGGGATGGGCGGTGGCAAAGAGGGAGCACATGGAGAGTGTGGAGAAGGAGAAAGCCAAGGAGAACAGAGGTCGGTGTGTGTGTGTGTGTGTGTGTGTGTGTGTGTGTGTGTATGTGTGTGTGTATGTGTGTGTGTGTGTATGTGTGTGTGTGTGTATGTGTGTGTGTGTGAATGGCTGGGTAACTGGGTGTGGCTGTGTGTATGTGTTTGCACAAGTGTATGTGTGTGAGGGCCTTCTTCTGTGCGTGTGTGATGACTTGTACCTGCTGTGCATTCAACTGCCCCCCTTGTTGACTTCTTCAACTCTAGTCCATCAGGTGTTTACGTATCAGTTGTTTCCCTCCTGGGTTCAATCATCCCTCTTTCTTGCACTTGCTGCTCTTCCCTTCCCCCTTGTGTTTTTCTGAATGATGGGGTGCCGTCGTGTCGATGCTGTTCGACGATTACGAGATGAGGACAAGACAAGTTTGAACACTTTTTTTTTCTGTGTTTCGGCGTATTTATGATCACTCGTTTCCTCTCTCACTTCTCCAATCAGATGGGTTGTCGATGCTGTTGGACAATGAGGATGAGGAGATGAGGATGCTTTTGAACTCTTTTGTCCTGTGGTTCTTTATAACTATGTTCACCTGTTCCCTCTCTCGTTTCTCCAATCAGATGGGTTGTCGATGATGAGGAGATGAACGAGGGAGTTCTCGTTTAAGGCGCCCCAAAACTCTTCCCTTCCCCCTTGTGTTTTCTTGAATCAGATGGGTTGTCGATGCTGTATGATGATGACGATGAGGATAATTCTGAACATTGTTTTCTGTGCTTCTGCGTGTTTATGTTCACCCGTACCCACCCTCGCTTCTCCAATCAGATGGGTTGTCGATGCTGTTCGATGATGAGGATGATGAGATGACCGAGGGAGGGGAGGAAGAGGAAGAAGAAGATAAGGAAGCGGAGGAAATGGAAGAGGAAGTGGAGGAGGAGGATGACGAGGAAGAGGAGCAGGAAATGGAAGAAGAGGAGGAGGATGAGGAGAGAGAAGCAAGGGTGAAGAGTCTTTTGGATATGGAAGCAGAGGAGGAGGATGAGGAGGATGATGATGAAGATGAAGAGGAGGAAGAGGAGGAAGAAGGGAGTGAGGAGGAAGAGGTTGAGGATGAGAGTGAGGAGGGAGAGGAGGAGGAGGACGAGGAGGGGGAAGAGGAAGAAGAGGACGAGGAGGATGAAACAGATGATGAGGAGGAGGAGGAGGTAGATTGGGAGATGGAGATGGGTGGTGGTGGCAGCAGTGGTGCCGTGCAAGGGAGTGAGAAGGATATGATGCTACGGGTGCTGTCCCGAGTGGTTGAGCAGGGGAAGGGGGAGGAGGGGATGGAGGGCGCAGGGGAGGAAGTGGGGTTGAAAGCAAAAGGTGTGGCTGTGAAAGGTGGGAAGGAAGGGGATGCAGCGAAAAAGGGGAAGGAGGGGAAGGAGGGAAAGGCAGGGAAGGTTGGCGAGGGAAAGAAGACAGGCTCTCGTGATGGCAAGGAAGGGACGGGTGTGGAGGAAGGGGAGGTGACGGAAGGGAAGGATGGGAAGGGCGAGAAGGCAGAGGCGCCGCCAGCGACGGTGTTTGTGAGGAACCTGCCTGTGGATGCCTCAGCTGACCGCATTCGAGCAGCCTTTGAACGGTTCGGCAAGGTGGCTGACTGCAGAGTCGTGCTGCACCCCGTTACCAGGTGAGTGGCTGTGTTGGGTCGTGCTTTGTAAGCCGTGTTGTTACTAGTCACACCTGTCGCACCTGTGCTATGAGGCGTTTGATCTGTTCTGCAAGGTGGTTGACTGTTGCGCGGTGCTGTGCTGCACCCGGTTACCAGGTGAGTTGCTGTGTTTTTGAGACGTCTCAAACAGGTCACCCGGTTACCAGGTGAGTTGCTGTGTTTTTCAGACATCTCAAAGCTCACCCGGTTACCAGGTGAGTTGCTGTGTTTTTGAGACGTCTCAAACAGGTCACCCGGTTACCAGGTGAGTTGCTGTGTTTTTCAGACATCTCAAAGCTCACCCGGTTACCAGGTGAGTTGCTGTGTTTTTGAGACGTCTCAAACAGGTCACCCGGTTACCAGGTGAGTTGCTGTGTTTTTCAGACATCTCAAAGCTCACCCGGTTACCAGGTGAGTTGCTGTGTTTTTGAGACGTCTCAAACAGGTCACCCGGTTACCAGGTGAGTTGCTGTGTTTTTCAGACATCTCAAAGCTCACCCGGTTACCAGGTGGGTTGCTGTGACTGTCCATGGCGCATGCAGGTTACACGATGTGTCCCGGCTATCTGGTGGGTTGCTGTGACTGTACGAGGTGTGTTGCATGCTAAGCCATGTGTCCCGGCCGGTTACCAGGTGCGTTTTCTTATCAACAGCATGAGTGCATTCTTTTATTCCAATAAGTCACACTGCCTTACTCCTCTCGACTCCAATGCACCCCACCACACTACCTGCTGAATCCCCTTAGGCGTCCCCGAGGCTCGGCGTTCGTCCGTTTCGAAACGCCCGAAGCCGCGCAAGCCGCCGTGGCAGGCTCGGCCCGAACCGCCAAGGCCAGGGCCGAGGTTGGGGGAGAGGGAAGGAAGGGAGGGGTGGAGGAGGGGATGGTGGTGGTGGGGGGGCAACAGACCCTTGTGACTCTGGCAGTGCGACGGGAGGAAGTGTCTAAGGTGGTGGAGAAGAGGAAACAAGCTGAGCAGACAGGCAAAGGGAGAGAGGAGGACAGAAGGAACCTTCACCTGCTGGAGGTGTGTACGGAAGTGCATTGGTTCTAAGGGTGCTTGGCTGTAGTAAATTGTGAGAGGTAAAGCACAGAACAGAAGCTGGATTTCGATTAGTTAGATTAAAGAGGAAACCAACCCGTCAGTAGTCCTCTCCTCCGTGCATGTTTCTTTCTTCCTTTTCCCCCTTCCTTACATTGTGGCTTAATGTCCTACCTTCTTGTTCCTCCCTCGCATGGGGCTATGTGCTGCTTGACTTGACATTGCATGGCATTCTATATACCTGCATGGCATGGCATGGCATGGCATGGGCTGCATCGCATAACAAAATTGTCACATTACATGGCATCGCATGGTATGGGATGTTACGGAACTGTACCAGTGGCATGGCATGGCATGGCATGGCATGGCATGGCATGGCATGGCGTGGCGTGGCATGGCATGGCATGGCGTGGCATGGCGTGGCATGGCGTGGCATGGCATGGCATGGCATGGCGTGGCATGGCGTGGCATGGCGTGGCATGGCATGGCATGGCATGGCATGGCGTGGCATGGCGTGGCATGGCATGGCATGGCGTGGCATGGCATGGCATGGCGTGGCATGGTATGGGATGGTACGGGACTGTATCGTTGGTATGGCATGGCGTGGCATGGCGTGGCATGACAGGAGGGGGTGATCAAGGAGGGAACACGAGCAGCAGAGGGAATGCCAGCAACAGACATGGAGAAGAGGAAGAGGTGGGTTGGGGAAATAGATGGGTTGGGGAACAGAGGTGGGCTGTGGAAATAGATGGGTTGGGGAAAGAGGTGGGTTGGGGAAATAGTTGTGGGCAAAGAGGGGTTGGGGAAATAGATGGGTTGGATGAATGCGTTGACAGCAAAGGGAGATTCTTTTTGTTTTTTTTTTCAGCCCCGCTCATCGTTCTCATTTCATCTCATTGCGTTCTAACTCAAGCTGAGGACTCTTAAGTTTGTCACAGCGCTAATGTAGCTTTTGACACGGCGCAAAGGTCATTTTATTGTTATCTTTTGTGCTCCTATCCCGTCTGTTCCTATTTCAGGCTGCAGCGTGAGAAACTGATGAAGCTCCGAAGCCCCAACTTCGCGGTGTCGTTGACGCGCCTGGCGGTGCACAACGTGCCACGGGAAATCGATGAGAAGCAGCTGAAGCAGGTGTTTGTGGATGCTGTGAAGGCACGGGCCAAGAAGCAGAAGCCTCATGTGAAGCAGGTGAGGGCGAGCGGCGCATGATGCATGTGTTAGGCTGTGGGGTGCATGGGGGAAGGAAACAGGCGGGAGATGGGCGAGAAGCAGCTGAAGCAGGTGTTTGTGGATGCTGTTAAGGCACGGGCCAAGAAGCAGAAGCCGCATGTCAAGCAGGTGAGATTGTTGGGCCGGGTACACGTATAATTCTTGAAATCAGCATCATTGATGAATGAGTTGATCGTGCGGTCAACCCTTTTACAACCACCTTCCACCCCTCGTTTCCATGGTCAACCCTCTTCCATCGTCCGCTCTTTCACCAAGGTAGCAGCATTTGACCACCTTCACGTCTTCTGATTGCACTCCTTTCAACCGCCGTGCACCACTCTCGTTCATCACCCTCTCATTTTTGCAGGTGAAGGTGCTGAGAGAAACAGATAGGGTGGGGCGAGATGGAAAGCCATGGTCCAAGGGAGTGATGTTTAATCTCACCTTTGCACTCCTTCAAACCTGCACCACTCTCGTTCATCATCCTCTCATTTCTGCAGGTGAAGGTGCTGAGGGAAGCAGACAGGGTGGGGCCAGATGGCAAGCCGCGGTCTAAGGGAGCGGCGTTCATTGAGTTCAGTGAGCATCAGCACGCTGTGGCGGCTCTCAGGGCTCTCAACAACCATCCCAGTGAGTGCAGTGCGGTGCAGTGCGATGCTGTGCAGTGCAGTGCGATGGTTTGAGTGCAGTGCGGTGGTGTGCTGTTCTTGAGACGGCAAGCCGCGGTCTAAGGGAGCGGCGTTCATTGAGTTCAGTGAGCATCAGCATGCAGTGGCGGCTCTCAGGGCTCTCAACAACCATCCCAGTGAGTGCAGTGCGGTGCAGTGCAGTGCCGTGCAGTGTTGTGAGGTGCGGTATAGTGCGGTGCAGTGCTGTGCTGTGCGTGAGACGGCAGGCAATAGGAGAGGCGTTTAACAATCATCCCTGTGAGTCCCCTAAGGTGTGCATTGTAATGTGGTGCAGTGCGGTCCAGGGCTGTGTGTGCGGTGCTGTGCAGTGTGGTGCTGCACTGATCTTGAGACGGCAGGCAAAGGGAGCCGTCGTTCACGTTCGTTGAGTTGAGTAAGCATCAGCCCGCGGTGGCAGCATTGAGAGCGATGAGCAACCATCCAAGAGAGTGCAGTGCGGTGTTGTGCAATTCTGTGCAGTGCCCGGAGGCATAGCATTGCCCGTGCCTTTTCCTTACACCCATGCCTCTCCCTTACTCATGGCCCTCCCCTGCAGCCATCGTCTCTCACGACACTCACCCCATAGTGGAGTTAGCGATTGAAAATGTATCGATAGTGAAGCAGAGGCACCACACGTCCATGCCTCTCCATTGCACCCATGCGTCTCCCTTACATCTGTATTTCTCGCTTATTCTCATCATCACTCCGTTGCAGCCATCTTCTCTCGTGATGCTCGCCCCATAGTGGAGTTTGCGATTGAGAATGTCTCGATAGTGAAGCAGCGGCAGCACATGGTGATGCAGCAGAGCGACAGGCGGCAGGCAGTGCGGCAGCAGCAGAAGCAGCAGAAGAAGCAGGAGAAGAAGCAGCAGCAGCAGCAGCAGCAGCAAGAAGCTTGTGCTGCTGGTCTGGCGAAAGCAAAGGGGGCAAAGAGAAAGCCTGAGGAGGCCGAGCCGCCTGCTGCTGGTGCCACTGAGGGGTCTCCAGCAAAGAAGAAGCAGAAGCAGGTGAAGGGAGCCAAGGGGCGGGTTCAGCAAAGGAAGGGGCAGGGGAAGGACGTGAAGGGGCATGCGTGTCTGCAGGAGCAAGCAGGTGGGAAGGCAGACGCTGCAACAGAGCAGCAGAGGGCCGGAGTGAAGACAGCCGGTGCAGCAGAGCAGGGAGGGGCGAGAGGCAGTGGGATGGGCGACCTAAAGAGGAAGCAGAAGGGTGCAGCAGGGGGCGCTGGTGTGTCTCCTGCTGCTGCAGTGAAATCTGCTGCTGCTTCTCCCGCGACTGCTATGAAGGCTGCTGCTGGTGCTGTGAGTCCCGGTGCTAAAAAGGCAAAGACAGACCCAAGGAGGGTGGCAGCAGCAGTGGCAATGAAAGCTGTTGCTGCCTCTCCTGCTTTTGTAGTAAGTCCCGGTTCTAAGAAACAAAAGACAGACGCAAGGAGAGGAGAAGCAGCGGCTGCAGTGGTGGAGGCTAGGCGGGCGCAGGCAGCACTAGCTGGGCTGGGAAGTGGAGGTGGCGGTGGGGAGAGGGGCAAGGCGAGGAGCAAGAAGGGGTCGGAGCACCAGGAGTTGGTGGATGAGCTTGATAGGCTCGTGGCGGCTTACAGATCAAAGAACTATGGGTGAGAGACTGTAAGGGAGATAGGGAGGGCGAGGGAGAGGGGCAAGGTGCAGAGCAAGAAGGGGTGGGAGCACCAGGAGCTGGTTATGAGTCTGACAGCTTCGTGGCGGCTTACAGAGCGAAGAACTATGGATGAGAGAGGGAGTCAAGGGAGGGAGTGAGAGGGAGATGGGCACGGGGCAGGGCAAGAAGGGGTCGGAGAACCCAAAGTTGATAAGCTTGTGGCGGCTTACAGATCGAAGAACTATGGATGAGGGACTGCAAGGGAGGGAGTGAGAGGGGGATAGGCAAGGTGAGGAACAGGAAGGGGTCGGAGCACCAGGAGTTGGTGGGTGAGCTTGATAGGCTCGTGGCGGCTTACAGATCGAAGAACTATGGGTGAGAGAGGGAGTACAAGGGACCGGAGCATCACGAGCGTTTGGGATGCACTTGATTGGCTATGAGTCTGAGTCTGCTTGATGAGCTCGCAGCAGATTACGGGTGAAGAATCATGAAATTACAGTTGAAAATACGGTAGTAAATATGTTGAAGGCGTGAAGAGCAAAAAATATTGAAAGCAGAGCCTTGGCATACGGTTTGTTATTGTTATTCAATTCTTGTTCTAGATGTCATGGGGCTGGCTGAACTAGTGGCTAGTGTAGTGTTTGCTTTTCTGTCATTTTATCACACAGATTTTAGTGCTGAAGGTCTCATTGGAAACTCAGATGGGTTACACTAAGTATTCTCGTGTTCTCGTAAATTTGAGCCTGGCTTCGTTTAGTGCGAATATCTATGTACCTGGTTGCCCCCAAATTATAAGTGCACCTGCGCTTATAATAAAACACGTTTTAGGGGGTGCGTGCGCCCGTTTTTATATAAGCGCATGTGAGGTACTGTGAAGAATAATGAAAAAACAAAGTTGCGACAATATGGACTGATTAAACAATGAACGATAAGACATACCATAATATAGCGGACGACCCTGCCATTTGGAAGAGCTTGTGATGGTGTCCATTTTTGTCTCTTGGGACGATGCCCTGCCGGGTCAAGCACACAGTATCCCAAAGATCCTTTGTGAACAGTCGGAATCTTTGTGCACCATACGTCGGAAATCAGTCGGAACTTCCGTGCCGTGTGCACACCACCAAAGCACAAAGCAACCCAACGAATCTGACCGAGCCTGCCACCCAGACGCAATGCCATGTTGGCATGTACGGTATGCAGGTTCGGGTGGCATCCAGCGTCAGTCGGGAATGCAGCTCAGCTTGGGAATGCAAGCCAGCGTTGCTGCACATTCCAGCGGTGAAATGGAGCTTGTACTATTTACTACGTGTACAGTATTCACATTTTCATCGTTGGGATCCAGCTTGCAAGCTTTCGTGCGCGCGACACCACTTCCTGGTGTTCATACTTTTCAGATTACACCGTCCACACGCCTACCAATTCTCGCTCATTTTTCTGCAATGCTGGAGCTGAGTCAGATTCCAAAAGTAATCCTCGTCAGATCTGGAATGGTCACTTGCGAGGTGTCTTTTTCTGCGAGTTCTAGTTCAAGGCGGCATAGGCGCGCTTCATCATACCGTGACGTGATGTGAGAAAGTCAATCTCTTTGGCACCCCGCGGATGGCGGGCGGAAGGGCGGAGTTTCAACCGCATCCGGCAGGAGGCGGAACTGGGCAGGAAGTATTTTAGCGACACCCACCACTCGCCCACCAATTCCCGCTCGTTTTCTCTGCGATGCTGGAGCTGAGTCAGATTCGTGGAGTAATCCACGTCAGATTCAGGATCGTCACTAGCGAGTTGTCGATTTTTCATCTTGCGAGCCCTATTCTCGCAAGTTGTGAGTTCTAGTCCGCCTTGGAGTCCAAGTCGGCACAGGCGCGCCAAATCAGATCACCAGATGATGTGACGTGACGTGATGACAGAAAGTAAACTCTTTGCCACCCGCGGATGGCGGGCGGAAGGGCGGAGCTTTCAACCGCATCCGGCAGGAGGCGGGACTGGGCAGAAAGTATTTCAGGGACGAGCCATCCCCAGTCAGCACATCATTCTTTTCCATCGTTCCTACTAACAAGCACTACTACCTCTCCTAGCTGCGTTTTCGCGAGATTGCTCACCTTTGGGCTTAACTTCGTCATTGTCATCGTAGCTTTGATAACTCGGGATCAGCCATGACTGGGATGCGACGCCGCGGCTCTGGCCTTGCATTTGCTGCCGCACTGGCTGCTCTCATGCTCTCAGGTATGCTCATTCTTACCTTGTGAACAGTTTTTGTCTGAGTCAGCGCATTGTTTTACGATTTAGGGTTGTCCCGGACGCATTGTCTGCACATTGTTGCACGTGTGTTGTTGCACATACATGTCAGAACATGATTCTCATTGGCGAGTCGCCGGCCTGACTAACTTCATCAAGTGTCCCACTCTTGTTTGCCAGCCTGTGCGCCCAGGGCTGCTGTGGCCATTCGCCTGCCAACTGCCACCAGCATCAAGTGCTCAGTGGGTTACGTGAAGGACGCTCAAGGCAACTGCGTTGGTGGGTGCTGGGAATGCAACAGAAATGGTTCACCACCACCTCATTCAATCTGCACTTCACGTTAAAGCTTCAACATCATCCGGCACTTGGTCTATGGCTGATTTGCTCCAGCACGTACCTACCTGCCATGCATGTATGCTGCTTCAGCTCCACCTGTGTTTGACCCCCACTTTCCTGTATCTGAACCCCACGTGCCTGAGTGCAGACTCGTGCGTGGTGCGCAACTGCGGCACCAACGCGAGGTGCCTCAAGAGCCAGGCGGGCTGGGCGGACTGCGTGTGCGACAGGGGCTTCAAGCTGCTGCCCGATGCCTCCTGCGCTCGTGAGTTTAGCCTCACCCCCCATAGTTTCTTCCCATATCTGCTGCTGCCTCGGATTTTGAATTCCTGCACGGTGCAGTCATTCTCTTCGCAGTGCTTAGATTGTCCTAGCTAAAGGTAACACCCATGCCATTGCTGCCACTCGTGTTAAACCTTCCCAGTCGCTTCTATGCTTCTCGTTACCGCACTTACATTTCCTTACCTTCCTCCTGTGCTTATTCTGCTGTCCAACCTCTCGTGCTGTGAACCTGACAGATCTGTGTACGGTCGAGGACTGTGGGGAGAACGGGTACTGTGAGGAGGACCAAGGAGGACTCTCCTCCTGTCATTGCAACACTGGATTTGAAAAGACTGCGGACGGCTGTGTTGGTGAGTGCTGCTTAGCCGTGCTGTACTTTTGAGTCGACTCAAAAGACAGACTGCGGACGGCTGTGTTGGTGAGTGCTGCTTAGCCGTGCTGTACTTTTGAGTCGACTCAAAAGACAGACTGCGGATGGCTGTGTTGGTGAGTGCTGCTTAGCCGTGCTGTACTTTTGAGTCGACTCAAAAGACAGACTGCGGACGGCTGTGTTGGTGAGTGCTGCTTAGCCGTGCTGTACTGATTTGATTCAGGGTGCTGGATGGTAGTGTCTGAATTGGTCCTTATGGCACTTCCAGATTCTAATGTTTGCTGTTCCCTTTGACTCTTCCCTTTCCAGATACGTGTGTGCTCCAGGCGTGTGCTGGAAACGGCCAGTGCGTGAAGGATGAGCAGGGGGCGGCGTCCTGTGTTTGTGATCCTTACTTCGGGCTGGAGGCAGACGGCAAGACATGCACAGGTAGCTATTGCTGTGTGCTGTGGTGCTGCTGAGGTGCTGCTGATGTGCTGTGGTGCTGCTGAGGTGCTGCTGATGCTGTGTGCCGCTTCTGATGCCATCTGCTGCTATGAATGTGCTGCTGTGTGCCATCTGATTCCCTTCGCATTCACTGCTGTTTCTGCTGTTATTTTTTTTTGTTCCCGTTGCTCCTCCCTCCCCTGGCAGACACATGTGTGCTCCAGGAGTGTGGTGAGAACGGCCAGTGCGTGCAGGACGAGAATGGGGCGGCGTCCTGTGTTTGTGACCCTGGCTTCACGCTGCGCGATGATGGCAAGTCGTGCCACGGTAAGGCTGCTGTTTGCTGCTGTGCTTCTGTCCTGTGCTCTGGCAGCACCTCTCAAACACCGTCCAACTTTCTGTCATCCTTCCACCTGCAGCTCATCGTTTCGACTCTCCCAACTTATCCCCGCCCCCCATCGTTTCTCGCAGACAATTCGCCCAACGGGCCACCTGATTTTGTTGACCTGCCGCCTTCTGCTATCAACCGCCCCTGCCCAGAGGGCAAAGAGAGGGACGCAGACGGCAACTGCGTTGGTGGGTGCTGTGGGAAAGAGTGAATGCAGCATTGCTCCACTGCAGTCTTTGTGGGCTGCATTTTCTGCACTCTTTTGGATTTGGTGTTATGGTGTGTCGCCACTGATGGCGAATGACGACATGCCTTGTTCTGCCCTTACGTGCTTGTCTGCCCCCACGTGCCTGAGTGCAGACGTGTGCGTGGTACATAACTGCGGCCCCAACGCCAACTGCCTCAAGAGCGAGGCAGGCTGGGCGAACTGTGTGTGCGAAAGGGGCCTCAGGCTCATGCCCAACGCGTCCTGCTCTCGTGAGTTCCTCGGGGTTACTCCCATGCCATGTCAACCTCTCACTTTGACCTTCCTGGCTGCAACCGAAGTCCTCTTGAACTTGCATACAGGCAGAGACTCCTGTCCTCACTCGACCGTTCTGTCCTTGTTCTGCCATGTCCACATGTGATTTCTCTCTTGCCATGACCCAACAGACTCGTGCTCAATAATGGACTGTGGGGAGAACGCGTACTGTGAGAAGGAGGAGTCTCTCGCCGTCTGTCACTGCAACTGGGGCTACGCCATGACCGACACCGGCTGTGTTGGTCAGTGCTCTCCTGCAATGCATGAAGAATCTGTTTGTGTCTTTGTGCCGGGTCATACAAGCTGAGAGGATGCGTTTTGTGTGCTGCAGAGGATGGCATGACGTGGGCAGGTTACCATGGCTGCATGGTGTAGTGCAATAGTGCGCTTTCTATTCGCAGTTCCATTTGCTTCTCCTCTTTTCATATATTGTCCAAACACTTTGAGTGTATTCTCTCTGTTGCGTCTTCCCCCAATGGCAGACACATGCATTCTGAAAGCGTGTAGCGCGCACGGTCACTGTGTGAAGGACGCGTTGGGGGAGGCGTCTTGTGTTTGTGACGTTGGCTACACGCTGCAGAGCGATACCAGGACGTGCAAAGGTAAGGATGCTGTGTGTTGCTGTGTGTTGCTGCGTGTTGCTGCGTGTTGCTGCGTGTTGCTGTGTGTTGCTGCGTGTTGCTGCGTGTTGCTGCGTGTTGCTGTGTGTTGCTGCGTGTTGCTGCGTGTTGCTGTGTGTTGCTGTGTGTTGCTGTGTGTTGCTGCGTGTTGCTGCGTGTTGCTGCGTGTTGCTGCGTGTTGCTGCGTGTTGCTGCGTGTTGCTGCGTGTTGCTGCGTGTTGCTGCGTGTTGCTGCGTGTTGCTGCGTGTTGCTGCGTGCTGCTGTGTGTTGCTGTGCGCTGCTGTGCGTTGCTGTGCGCTGCTGTGTGCTGCTGTCTGTTGCTGTGTGTTGCTGTGTGCTGCTGTCTGTTGCTGTGTGTTGCTGTGTGTTGCTGTGCGCTGCTGTGCGCTGCTGTGCGTTGCTGTGTGTTGCTGTGTGTTGCTGTGTGTTGAAGTGTGCTTTCGTGTCCTTGTGTGTTTTGCTGCTCTATGTTTCCTCACGCTCCCTCTTTCTCCTCCTTCTACCCTCTCCACCTGCGGCAAGCCTGCATCTGTACATCCTCTCCGCTTTCCCCTCTGTCGCTCTCGTTCTTTTGTTCCACACATGCCCCACACTCAGTGACACTCCCGCCCCCCTCCCCCTTCCCCTCTCCGGTTCTCCCCCCCTCTTCTCCCCCAGATAATTGCCTTATTATTGGCTGGATTCCGTTAACGGAGGTTTGTTGGAAAGATGCGGATGGCACGGCACACCGCGCATGCAAATCAGGCTACACACGGCTCTACGGTGATTGTGTTGGTATGTAATGTTCTCTCACCTTTGATAGAACCTTCCCTCAAACCCCCCTATCCTCCTCCCCCTCTCCCCCCCTCCCCTCCCCCCCAACCCACCCCCACCTCCCCTTCCCTCTCCATCCCTCTTCCAGCTCTCACTCCATCCTCTCTCCCTCTTGCTTTTCTCCCCTCTTTTTAAAACAATCAATGAATATTGATGTAGCCCCCTCGCTTTTTTCCCGCTCCCCGCTCATTTTGCCCTCACGTAACCAGTTCGTTTATACAGCACCACGCCTGTTGTATTCTTTCTATTACACATTGCATTGTGCTGTCCTCTGTGCTTGCCTGCTGTTATCTGTTCGACATATAGTGCAGTTACACTAATGTTGCACTGATGCTAGAATATTCCCTCCTTTTCTCTACCCCATGCTCACCAGGACCTGCAACCTGCGGGAACTGTCCGAATCTCGCCACATGCACACTTGTCTCATTAACCAGAAAGGCTCCTTACTGCGTCTGTCCTACTGGCTATGGCATGACCTCAAATGGTTGCATCCGCGGTAAGACCATTATGTTTGCATTCAAGAATTGCGGATGATACGGCAGTTGAGGATTTTGAAAGTGGAGGCCTGACCAGCTGTGCTTGCATCATAAGTCTGTCAATGCTCCATACATATTTGTGAAACCTAGAATTCCATACCAAATCCCATGCCCCGTTTTTCCACTCTCCCACATTCTGTTTGTCTTCCAGGAGCCACCCCAACAGTCTCCTCCGCCAGTTTCACCTTCTATGACAAAACTAACTACGGCTTATCACTCTACACCTACACCACGCGCCTCAACTACACCTCATGCACCAACGTGCCTAAGCCAGTTGCGTTCATTCACCAATCATACTGGCGCGTGGACCATGCACCCGGAGGAGCTGGTGATTGCAGGAAAATCATCCTTTATCATTATCCAAACTGCGTTGGCGCGTTCGCTACGCTCTCCTACCTGTCGCTGACCAGCATCACTGCAGCGGGCGTCACGTAAGTCGAGCACACAAGCTTATGTTTTTCCAAAAATCTTTTTTTTTTCTTGCTCTGTTTCAACGTCCTTATTGTTTCTAAGGCTGACTTTATCCCATGGAAACCCAGTTCTCAAGTTTGTTTCCGTTTCCCTGTATCTACCTACTTCTTTGTGTGCCACCAACAGACCTGCAACGAGTGACATATATTCCTTCTCGTGTATGCGCTAATCATTGGACTTGTGGAGAATAAAGACCAGCAGTTGAAGATGATTCTTCGTTGAAGATAGAAGACAATGGTTGAGTCTACCGTTGACGTGGTGCCTTTAGACAAGCCTGATGCAGCCTGGGGAGGAGTGATTGGCATCAAAGTACTGCGATGGTCCATGGGATTTGCCATTTGCGTCAAGTTAGTTCTACCTCTCTTAGGGCATGTTCCTACGCTCTTATCAGGCAAACCTCTTGTCAGCCTTGCCTGGTAAAATTAGCGAGGGTTTTCGGGTTTAGGGAATTTTCAGTGTGTTTTGACGCGAGCTTGATAAGAGGTTGGCCTGATAAGGGGCCGTAGGAACATGCCCTTATTCAGCCTCTAATCTCTTGGTTCTCCTCCATTCTGTGCTCCCATCTCTCATTTTCCATTCAGTTAGCAATATTAAGTGTGTGTGTGTGTGTGTGTGTGTGTGTGTGTGTGTGTGTGTGTGTGTGTGTGTGTGTGTGTGTGTGTGTGTGTGTGTGTGTGTGTGTGTGTTCTCACCTGCGTGTGCATGTGTGTGCGTGTGTGTGTGTGTGTGTGTGTGAGTGGCACATGAGTACGATAATAATGACATCTGCCTATTATGTTTTACACTTTGATAGTCATTATATTTTGCGGTACCTTCATAGCTGTCTTGGATATTAAGCATTTGCCTACAAGTACCGTATGAGGAAAGCGCAACGCTCTCAGACGGAACGTGCTCCCAGACGGAACATGGTTGCAAGGGCTCTACAGTTCCATCTCCCTTTCGGCCATTTCTCGCGTTTCTGCTCCCCATTTTCTATTTGTCTGGAGATCTCTCGTATGGATTCACCAGCGGGTGCGGATGCTAGTTTTGTAGTTTCGAAGCAAGTTAGAAAATAAAGTCGTAAGATGTTTCACTCCGTAGTCACATCGCACTCTTGTTTCATAGGTTTTGCAGCTTAGGTAACGTGCGGAAGGCGAATTCTATAGCGATCAAATCGCGCGCTATCATAGCGAGGATGATTATTGCTAATAATGACAATTCGCTAGACCCTTAGCAACAGCATCAGCAGCAGCATTACTACCAGATCATAATCAACATCAGCAGCAGCACCAGCAGCGGCGACAGCAGCAGCAGGTGATGCCATGTCGGACAGGCTCGCTCCAGACAAGCGGTTCAAGTTCGTTCACAACGGTGAGATTAAAGCTCCAAATTCGTCCACATCGGTGAGATGTATGGCGTTTTCTAGCTGCTTGGATGTTGCATTGAAAGAGGCGAGCTGCTGAAGGTTTTTGTGACGTCTCAACAGTCAAGTTCCTGTCCAATGAGGCGCCTCAAAAGGCGTACAATGAGTGCGTTTTCGCATGTTTAAAGCAGATATTGCATGTTTCTCCCTTTTCTTTCTATCACTTCCACCTCCCCGCATACCAAGTGCATGAGTGAATCCAGAGGGGTTGCTTTTGTGGGGAAAAACAAAGAGTCCGTCCCACGCGTTTTCCTCACACGCTTCTGTGGGTTATCCCTCCCATCATTGACCCCACAGGCCATAAACTGTGATTTGAACCAGAAGGATTGCTTTCCACGAGAAAAGCATGAGCCCATCCCACCCGATGTGTCTTCCCCGTATTTCCTATTTGGATTCTCCCCCCCATTTTTATACCCCACAGGCCAAACCATCTATGAGTGGGACCAGACAGTTGACGAGATAGAGATTTTCGTTCCGCTGCCCGAAGGAGTGCCCAAAAAGCTGTTCACATGCCAAATATCGCAGCGGCACGTCACAGTCGGCATCAAGGGCAACCCCCCTTACTTGGATGTATGTTTCCTAAACCCCCCTTACACGAAATATCGCAACGGCACATCACCTATCTGCGTGACTATGTGATGGTGTGGTGTCTGCTAAGCTGCCTGAGCGGATTATGGTATGGTGTCTGATGGCAACTCCGCATCGCATGGTCGCATGAGTGTGAGATTGTGACTGATTACCAAACGGCACAGTGAGGAATGATGCGGTGTGCTAATAACGAGCAGCATCACACTGAATGCTTGTGCTTTCGTTCTTAAAGAGGGTTCTATGCCTGCCGCGGTTCTACTTGTTTTGGAAAAAAGACTGCAGTACCCTTCCGTGCTTACCCTCTCACATCCTCTGCCTTGCTCTTACCACCCTCTCACATCCTCTGCCTTGCTCTTACCACCCTCTCACATCCTCTGCCTTGCTCTTACCACCCTCTCACATCCTCTGCCTTGCTCTTACCACCCTCTCACATCCTCTGCCTTGCTCTTACCACCCTCTCACATCCTCTGCCTTGCTCTTACCACCCTCTCACATCCTCTGCCTTGCTCTTACCACCCTCTCACATCCTCTGCCTTGCTCTTACCACCCTCTCACATCCTCTGCCTTGCTCTTACCACCCTCTCACATCCTCTGCCTTGCTCTTACCACCCTCTCACATCCTCTGCCTTGCTCTTACCACCCTCTCACATCCTCTGCCTTGCTCTTACCACCCTCTCACATCCTCTGCCTTGCTCTTACCACCCTCTCACATCCTCTGCCTTGCTCTTACCACCCTCTCACATCCTCTGCCTTGCTCTTACCACCCTCTCACATCCTCTGCCTTGCTCTTACCACCCTCTCACATCCTCTGCCTTGCTCTTACCACCCTCTCACATCCTCTGCCTTGCTCTTACCACCCTCTCACATCCTCTGCCTTGCTCTTACCACCCTCTCACATCCTCTGCCTTGCTCTTACCCACGTGGCTGACAGCACGACCTGGCCGGGGCTGTGAAGGTGGACGACAGCTTCTGGACCATTGGTGAGTCGCAGCTCCTTTCCCCCTTCTCCATCTTACAGGTGACTTTTGAGTCGACTCAAAAGTCAGTTGAATTAAGTTTTTCACAGCCTAGCCGGGGCTGTGAAGGTGGACGACAGCTTCTGGACTATTGGTGAGTCGCAGCTCCAGATAGCCCGCTCTGGATCGTTTTCCCTCTTTCATTTCAAACTTGTTTCTTTCCGTTCTGTTCGCGCACTCTGATATTGTCTTCTTGCATTGATAAGTAGAGTTATTTTTCCATTTCTGTGCTCATTAGGGTTTGCATGATGCGAAGTTTCATGCTGCGACTCAGTTCCTTCTTTCAAAAGATGAGTGAGGTAGGCTGGGGCTTCAGGCAATAAAGGGGTCTACATGCCATTTCCTCCTCATCTTCCCATGCTTGCATGCCTCCTCCTCTTCTCTCTTGCTAGTTTGCATGTAACAGAGGGCACTGAGCTCCACATATTGTTGCAAGAAGCCTTAGAAAGCCCTAGTTTGCGTGCCATTCCTCCTACTCCTCCCTGCATTCTCACGACCCACAGAGCTCCACATCTCGTTGCAAAGAGCAAAAGCGTTACCAACTTGCATGCCTTTCCACTCCTCCCTGCATTGGCACATGCCAGAGGGCACTGAGCTCCACTCTTCACTGCAAAAGGCCGGGTGGGGCAAGCCGTGGCCAGACGCAATCAAGTGGAGGTTTCCTCCTCATCGCCCGTCTTTGCATGCCCTTTCCTCGTCTCCCCTACCTGTTTACTTCTGTTCTTCTCCCCTACCTCTTCGCATGCCTTCTCCCGTCTTCACTTCTTTGCATCCCACAGAGAGGCAAGCCGTGGCCGGGCGGTGCAAACAAAGGGCACAGTCTGGATGCTTTCTCCTTCTCTTCTCGCCACCTCTCTTCATCCCACAGACCGCTCTGAGCTCCGCATTTCATTCCAAAAGGCTGATGAAAGCTTTGCATGCCAATCACAACCCCCCCTGCATTTCCGCATCCCACAGAGGGCGCCGAGCTCCACATCTCGTTGCAAAAGGCCGAACGAGGCAAGCCGTGGCCAGGCGCCATTTTAGGGCACACTTTGGATGCGTTCTCTGCGGACCAGGAGTCGAGACGGCTCTTGCTGGAGCGATTCCAAATAGAGGTGGGTGGACAGAGGTTGGTTGGCACGGGCAGGAGGCACAGTGTGGGCGCTGTGGGGGTTATCTGTAGTGAAGGGTACAGTCCAGGTGCAATCAAGGGGCGCAGTCTTGGTGCTTTCTCTGCAGACCAGGGGTCCAGGCTGCTCATGCTGGAGCAATTCTGATTTTCCACTCAAACTTTCTGTCAGCTTCACTTCGCATCTTGTCAGCTTCCCTTTTGATTCTGCGCACAGGCTGCCTTCACTTATTATTCACATTCCCTTTTGATTCTGTGCGTTGCTCCTGTGCTGTTCCCTACACAATGCAGAATCCGGGGTTTGACTTCTTGGTTGCAGAGCTCACAAATTCCCGTGTGCTCCCTCTTTTTGTGCCCTCTGTGTTCCCCTCCCCACGCATAGCAGAATCCCGGGTTTGACTTCTCTGGAGCAGAGCTCACAGGATCGTGCCCCGACCCAGCAGCGTTTCTTGGTGGCATGCAGAGGCAATAATCGGTTGGCAGACTTTCTTGGTGGCACGAAAAGGTAGTGATGGGGTAGCAGCGATTCTTGGTGGCATGCAAACCCAATAATCGGTTGGCAGACTTTCTTGATGGCCTGTGCAAAGGCAGTGATTGGCTAGCAGCGATTCTTGGTGGCATGTAACTTCTGAATGGCAATCAGAAGCAAAAATCTGGCTCGTAGCATTTGATTGGCTAGCAGCTCTGGTTTGGGTGGAAAGAAGGGCGGGCGGTGCTTTTAGGTGAGTACGGTATGCAGGTAAATATGGCACTGTGAAATATACATGGAAACAATTTATTATATTGGCAATCACGAATGCCTGATGCGTAGATGTGAAGTGAAATCCATCCACGCGGTACAGGTGACAAATTCATTTGAAGGTTGTCGAAACCAAGACATTTGTACACTACAGTGTCGAGCAGCTTCATACCACAAGTGCTAAAAATATGAGTTACTGCGAAGCGAAGGTCAACATTGAAACTAACTCCTGCGTTGGTAGAAACCACCAGGCAGATTTACCTACTACGTACTCTAGTACTAAAACATCATAAGACAAGCACTTTAAAAAGGCAATCCCTCGCTGTGGTAACCCTCCATGCAAAAGAGAAATGTACACATTATTGACACACATAAGCACTACACATTTGCTTGGTTCTGAAAAAAAAAACACGCAAATTCTCTAGCATGGAAGCCCCCCTATTAGGACAAATGCACATAGACAACACATGTTTGCTGTAGATAGGTAGTGAGAGAGAGGCAACCCCTAATGTACAGAGGGCAGGGCGCACCCCCCATCTTCCTAGTGCCACTGCAATAGTCAAACGGACAGCTCTACACCTGCGTAGTATCAAGGAACAATGAAAGGGACCAAAAGGAACAAAAAGGGACAAAAGGGAACAAAACGGGACAAAAAGGGACAAACCACAAGGGTTAGGAGTCGTGGACCCGTGGTTCAGCAGCACTCATCAGGCGGTTTACACTGCAGAAGTGTGACCACCCTGGAGGTTGAGTATCAAAAGATTGTTGGCAGCGACATATCTTATGAACTGTAACACAACAACATCTGCCTGCCACTTCAGAAAGCTACTACATTCTATTTCCCCCCCTTCCCCTTCCCCCTCCCCTCCCCCTCTCTTTCCTTCCTCCATCCTGCTATACCTCCGCCCCTATACCCTAAACCCTCGATCTCTCTCCCTCTCCGCTTCTCACCTTGTTAGTTCTCCGCCGCAGCTTCGTCAGCTGGTCCTTGATCTTCGCTGCATCGCCGTATCGCTCGTGCTGCGCTGCTTCCTCCATCAGCTTCACCAACGCAAACTCGTCCGCCAGTGATAAGTCCTCAAAATCTGGCCTGTGGAACACGAAACGAGGAGAGGGGGGCAGGAGAGGGAGGCAAGCAGACAAGGGTGCAGAGATGGTACCATTAGTTCAAGCTGCGCTGCTTCCTCCATCAGCCTCACCAGGGCAAACTCGTCCGCCAGTGATTGGTCCTCGAGATCAGGCCTGCGGGGAAGTGGGCGGGAAGAAGGGAGAGGATGAGAGTGGATAGGAAGAGGAGAGAGGGAACGAGGATGGAGCAATGCGTTCTTTTGTTTGGTTGCTCTGAGGAGGGAACGTGGATTGTTTCCTCCTCACTCGAACCTACTATCGGCTTCACGTATTCTTATTCAGGCAGCACCATATGCTCCGTCACACCATATGCTCCGTCAGCATCATAGTTGATCCCACCACTCACTTGTCATCTGACGTCAGCACCACTCTCGGCTGCCGTCTCAGCAGCCGCCCACCATGCCCAGGTGCCACTGCCGCCCGCACCATCCCGACTATCCGCACTCCGTCCGCCACCGCCAGGGATTTCCGCACCTGAATCGGCACCTGAAACAACAGAAACACACCTGAATAAGCGCCTGATGCAATGGCGATGCAGGATGGGAACACCCTGCTGAGGAGCAAGAAGAATTTTGTAAGCCTGACTACCTGAAAGCCTGTGTCCAAGCTAAGAACCCCCTGCCCCCTCTACCTGCGCCGTATTCCAGTCCCTGCCCCTGCCCCTTGTCCCTGTCCCCTACCCATACCACTGCCCTGATTCTTCACTGGATCTGGTTCTCGCCATTCATGGTTGCTGTTCATTCCTTTCTTTGCCACTGTATCTCACCACAACGACCCCACCTGTCTCACTCACACCCGTCGTCAGAACCACACGCATGTTGGTACAATGCTACATTGACCCACCTTGGCGCGTGCTGCAAGGTTGATGGCATCGGATGGCCGCATGTCCAGACTCATCATGGCAGGCCCGCTGCTGCTGTTCCCAGTGCTGGTGGCTGTGTTGCCAGCAGAAACCTGTTGTGGGAGGGAGTGGGGGTGGAAACAATGAAGTCGAAACAAATAAGTCAAATCAACTATGCATGGCTGCATGCCCTGCACCCTTAGTACCGGGACCACTGCTTTTGCTGCTGCCACTGTCAACGCCGCAGTAGGCATCCCCCTCTCGATGGGTGATGCACACCCAATTCGACTCTGGCCTAGAAAAAAGCAAGGCTGGCCTTGGAGAGATAAGCCCTGCAGCAGGCATCCCTGACTTGATGGGTGCGCACCAAAATGAACTCTAGAGATCCGGGCATAGTATGATCTGCACCAATGGGTGGTGATGCGCATTGATTGAACTTTGAAGGAGTCGTAAAAAGATCCGGACTGACCTTGGATAGGTAGGCCCGGGCACAGTAGGCATCCCCGTCTCGATGGGTGATGCGAATCAAACTGATCTGCAGGCAGAAACAAGGGGGCGGGGGGATGGACGGACGTGAAAACTTCAGTTTGTGGTGTTAAACAAAAAAAAATTGGAAAGCAGCAGCTAAGCCTGTTGGGTTGGATTTGTGAACTACATTAGCATTTGACAATCACCAGTGAACTAGTTCACATCCCACTGTCTCGCCCTAAATTCCAATCAATCCACCTAACATTCCATAGTGTCACCCAATCACACCACCTTACCTCATATCCCATCAGCTCAATCATATCCCGCATTAGCATGTATACCGTTGGCCGAGCCTGCCACGTCAGCATAGTAATACACAATCACACAACAAAGTACTGATTAGATTTCGATCTCACCATGTGGCTTGCACTAGAAGCGTGGATTTTAAACACGATAATAACACTCGTTCTGCAGTCCTGCCTTGAACAGCTCCGTCCCGATATAAGCATTTTGAACTCTCAAGCTAAAGCTCTACCAGCATCAAACGCACCAGCTCTACACTCGTAATACTCACACCGTTTACCGTCATAAAAGGTACCGTCAACTCACCAGAGGCACGCCGCGCACCGAGTCAATGAGCATTTGGCTCGAGAGGTGCGCTGCAGATGGGGGACGGGGAAGGAGAGAAGCACGGGAGAGGGGGAAGGAACGGAAGGGGGGAAAACGGGGGGAGGGGAGACGGGGGAGACACTGAGTCGATGAGCATTTGGCTGGAGAGGTGCGCTGCAGTGGGGGAAAGGAAAAGAGGGGAGAGACGGGAAGGGCTACGGAAAGGGGGAAGATGACTCGAGTCGATGCGCATTTTGCTGAAGAGGCGCGGAGCAGATGAGAAACGAGCAGGAAGCAAGTGTGAAATAGGGAGGAATATACCGGTCACCTTCCCTCTCCCCTTCCACCGACCCTCGCCTTTCCCCTTCCTTCCCCTTTTCCCCCGTCGTCGCCTTTTCCCATCCTTCCCCTTCCCCCGTCCCTCCCCTTCCCTTCCCCCGTGTTTCCCCTTCCCCCGACCTGCGCCGCGGACGTCTTCCATCTCCAGCACGGCGGGGCGGGCCGGATGCGCGGAGGCACAGGTGCACCCTCACCATGAGAGGGGCTTTTCCACAACGTGTACTCGATACCGAGAATCGCGTTAAGCTTCAAGCCAGCACTCACGAATGAGGATGGGGAGGAGGATACGCGAGCCGTCTTCGAGTTTAAGAACAGCCGCCGGCTGCGCAGGGTATTCGGGGAGGCGAATCCCGTCCATGAGGTTGTGCGAGCACTTGAACGATATGCCGTCCGTCATGCCGACTAGAAGCGCGTCGCCGCTGCTGCTGACACTCGCTGCACGGTGCGGCCGGGATGGGAGGAGGGAGGGGGGTGGAAAAGGAGAGAGACGGTGGGGAAAGCAGTACAGGAAAAATGAGTAAGGGGAAGGTAGGGAGGCGCACCCCGTCCATGAGGCTGTGCGAGCACTTGAACGATATGCCGTCCGTCATTCCCACCAACAGCGTGTCTCCGCTGCTGCTGGCACTCGCTGCAATGGAGGGTAGGGTCGTGGGGTAGAAGGCGGCGCGGGAAACGGACGGGGAAAGGTGAGCAGTCGCGTGCTCGTAACCAATCCCGTGCTTGTAACGGTCACTACGTACACTTGCGTTTAAAACGGAACCCGTGGTCGTACTCGGAGCACGTGTTTGTAACGGAGCCCGTGCTCATAACGCAGCCTCTCTGCAGCGAAACGTCACGCGCCGTGAAGAGAACATGCGCGTTGTGAAGCAGACTCACTCGCTTCGAGCACGGTGGCGCGAGAAAACTCCTCGTCAGTGTAGTCAAACGCTGACTCGACATGCTCAAACTCTCCGAACTCGCCAAACTGCATCCGCGCTGCGGTTTTCGCGCCGCCAGCGCGATCTTTCTGTAAACCGTGCAGTGCATCTCGCCGCGAATCCCGCGCGTCCGCGCATCGGTCAGCATGGCTAGAGAAGCGGGGAGAGAGAGGCGGGAGAAAGGAGTTTGGCAGGGATAGCCTCTGCGGAGGCACGTGGAGTGTGACTGGTACTCTAATGCTCGCGGTTTGAATAGAAGATTGAAGGCTCGCCGCCATGGTTATAGTCGGATGTAGAAAATAAAAGAAGGTAACAGGAAGGATAGGAGGTGGAGCTGGTTTCCAAGACTAATGTCGCGCGGCGCCAGATTACGTGACTAATGAACAAGGTTTCACTGTGCGCGGGCAAAACCAAGAATGGGGTGGAGCGTTTATTTGAATCCAGACCACACCACCTGGAAATACACTACCTTTGTTCAGTGCATTGTCATGTCACGCTGCAACGGCACGCGGCGGGCGTGAATGTGGAGTGGCGGGCAGTCGCGCCCGTGGGGTGCAGAATTGAGCAGTGCGGAGCAGACCAGAGCAGAGCACAGCAGGGCAGCGGAGAGGAGAACAGAGCAGAGTCACCCCACCCCGCGCAACTACTGGCGGAGCAACTTGAAGGGCGCCGGCGGAGAATTTTGCGCGCATCAGCGAAATCACAGCGAGCCACAACCATCTCTTTCGGATTCCTCCTTTCCGGCTTCCTTGGCTAGATGGACGCATGGTTACCATGCGAAACTTTGCGAGTAGTGCGACAACTGTACGTCTCAGGGGAATTCGCGGAATGAAGGCTCCGCGTATATAACGGCAATTTCTTCCGCCAACCAGGCACGCTGACCATGGAAATTTCCCACAGTCGGTGCGGTCGCGGCACAAATGCTGCGTCAGGTCCACGTTATCTAGAGTGGATTGACCTGTTTCCATGCTTGCAAATGCTGTACTCCCTGTTTTAGTGGCTGCATGCACGTGTGATCTCCCCTGTCCACGACAATCGTCACGTGCGTCGTCAACCAAGCATGCGTTGGCATGAAGAATCAGCCAACGAGGAAAGGATGCAGGCTGCAAACACATGCATAAGTGGAGTGCATAATAACATCGCTATTGGAACATTCGAACGTCTAAAATAACTATCGATACGATGAATAAAGACCTTATGTATTAACGAACAGACTCGAAAAGCAACGAGGGAGCATCAACAACGAACGATGTTACCGAGTACCATTGTCCCTCAAACCGAATATCGTTAGACACTTTTGGTAACTCACCAGTCAAGATGCGAATGAATATGATGGTAACCGGCTAGGTGGCGAGCTGCAAACCAGATCACTCACATCGCAGCAGCACCCAACCACTGCCCTTGGGATTTCCGCAAACAGCTCTCTCAGATAGCGTTCCCACGTTTGCCCGCCATCAAGTTTTCCCACCAAGTTCACAATTTGGGAAGGATGGTGTCCGAGGTGGGGTGCTGCCCCACTTCGGACACTGTGGTATGACTCACGACCATGCATATGATCACATAATTTGCAACAAAGTTCGCTCCCAATCAGAGAGCGCTGGCGAGTTTCGCCATGCTGAGAGGGGATAGTGGTAGGATAACTGTGGTGGATTGACCCAAATAATTAGGTGCGCTTGAGAGTAGAGTCGACTCCAATTTCGTGCGCTTAGAGTGGCAGTGTACCAATTAGGGCGTGTGTGAATCTAATTAAAGTTCGAAAATGGGATCGAACCATGTGTGGTAACCAATTTCGAGCATGTTCGCCAACGCTTTCGCCAACGCCGTTTTACTTTGTCACGCACGAAACTCGAACCCCAAAAAGTGAACAAGATTCGAGTGTGGGAGCAAACGTGGTTTTGCACGTTGTAGTGAACGTGTGTGGTTTCAGGCACGTACGCGGAATGTGCGACACTCGCAACAAATTCGTGCGATTCGTTGACGTGTCGCGCTGTCAAGATTTCGATACTGGGTAACCTACGCACCCTAGAAGCGGTTCGGTTCCCCCCTACAGGCTCGAACTTGCAGATTCGCACTTGCGCGTGTGGTTGTGAGTTTACAACTTTTGACACTTGCGGTTCGAACCTTGCAAACACTCAAAATCGAGTCAGGTTCGCTTAGTGTTCACTTGCTACAATTGAGTCAAAAACCTAAACTTAAGGTAAAAACTAGATTCACACACGCCCTTATTTTTCCGCTTTCTCCCCAAATTATTTTTGTAAACCTGCGCGTCTACTGCACACCAAGCCCTACAGATGTCGTCGTTAGCTGTTGGATTGAGTTACCAGCTGACCTCGAAACTAGATCGTACGGTTCGAATTGGCTGTTTACTGGTGTCGAGACATGGAACCGCGTTTCTCCACAATTTACAACATTTGACGAAATTGCGACCCGCGTGGGAGAACTTTGATGGCGGGCAAACGTGGGGACGCCACCTCAGTCCCGAGAATCCAGATTTCAGCCTAACAAATCCCTGGTGCATTTCGTGCATGTATCTCGAGTTTGCTCCTGACGTGCCACCTATCAGAAGAGCGAGATCATCTCTAGGTTCTTCTTGAGACTCTCAAGGTAGCCATTTGAGATGATCTCAAGGAATTCCCGGATGCGGCCCAGCTTGCGTGAAGTACGTGATTGTTTGGAAGGATGGTTTGGTACCGTTCGGGCCGACTCAGCAGCAGTGCTCCTGACGAGCATAGACGTGACGGAATCAAAAGAAGTGAATGGGACCGTCAGTCCAGGATTAGCAGCGGTGGGTGGGAGAAAAAGGCAGTTTCTTTTTACCCGATTACGTCTCCGGGAGCATGGTGCCTTTTGGTCCGGGAAAGCTAATTCGTGCATTGTGTAACGAGTAGTAGGTCCTTGGCGATGGGTAAAAAGAGGTATTTTGCAGAGTTGAAACTCGAAGAGCCAACGCATTCGAAGCTCCGCTTCATATTCAGTTATGTGGAGCTCGTTTGCTTAGAAAATTTAGGGCTTTCAACGGAGGCTGCCTTAGTTTTCCGCAGAACCGGGGCGAGGTGGATGTGCTGACAGACATTGCTTCAGCGATCCAAACTTGACAATGCATTCTCGGCACAAGCGCTTCGATTTTCAGCAATAGTCGGTTTAGTCTTTAGCAGAGGTCGTTCTATTCTCAGCAGAATCTGATAGACTTTCAGCAAAAGGCTGTTTAAATTCTCAGCAGAGACTGATCAAACATCAGCAGCGGTTGTTACGTATCTCAGCAGCGGTTTCGATTCTCAGCAAAGGTCCAATTTTCCGAACTGTCTCTTCAAATCTCGGGAGCTGTTCTGTACTCCAACACAGGCCGTTTCCAGACGCATCCGTTTCGATTCTCAGCAGCGGCTGTTTTTCGATTTAACAGCAATGCAGGGCGTGGCGGGTGTGCTTGTAGAGCTGACGCAGGAGGTGCAGGAATTGGAGGAGTCTATAACGAACAAGGTTCATCAACTTATAGCGGGGATGTCTGCGGTAGAGCACGTGCAGGAAGCGGAGCAGCATCTGCAGAGACTGGAGGAGAGTGTGGAGGGAATCAGGGGTCTTGTGGAAGGCGTGCGAATGAAAATGACGGAAGTCGGGGGTAGCAGGGAGTTGATTCTCGTGACTCAGGAGACCGTGCTGTGCCAGCAGCATCAGCAGGAGCAGCAGCAGCAGCAGCAACAAGTGCTGCAGTGGCATCCAGAGGATCAGCTGCAGGAACCGCAGCAGCGGCTACTGAAGAAGCTGGAATGCCGAGACTGTCATAGGCAGATTTCAAGAGGGAGTTCTGGAGAGTCGTTTTTAGGCACGAAGAGACGGATGAGGGAGATGGACGCGCAGCTCCAGCAGCAAGTCGTCAAGGTTCAGAGGATAGAAAAGGTATCGTGTGTGACATATCTTTCCTTACCATTATTGAACCCACAAAGTCTCACACATTCCTTGTCTCCCTCTACTCTTTCCCCCTCTAACGAGGATGTTAATATGTGCGTTCTTCTTTCCTCTGTATTTGAATCCTTTCCAGTCCTTTGAATGCTTTTTTTTTTTTTTTATGGGTTGTCGTCCCTCATGGTTATTCAGCTCTTTAGGTGCCCGAATTCTCAACTCTCCATGCCTCGCCTGTCCCAATTCCTCTCCTCTTATCCACCCTTCACATCCGTTGTTCTCCTCCCCATCCGCCTCCAGGGCTTGCAATCCCTAGCCACCTTCCACAGCACGCACCTCATCAAGGGCTTCACCACTCTGGACCTCTCTGTACTCCCCTCGCCCTCCTACCACACGCTCCTCTTCCACCTCCTCTCGCTCTCCCTCCACCACTCCGCATCCCTCTCCACCGTTTCCACACTCAAAGCCTTCTCATCAATAACCACACCCTGCCTGCAACAATCCATCGTCCTGAATCTCCCATCACTGAGAAAGCTTGATTTCAGCAACTGCACTCGCCTGGTGGACTCTGATTTGCCTCTGATTGCCCGACTCACGCAGCTCACTCACCTCTGCTTGGCTGGATGCACTGGCTTCAGGTTTGGTGCAGCAGCACCGCACCCTGTCATAAGCAGTGCTCCAAACCTGGCAAACTTGACAGATTTGGCAAATTTGACAAATTTGGCAAGTCTGACAATTCTGGCAAATCTTGGGAACCTGACGAATCTGACAAACCTGAGGAGGCTGAATCTGAGCAGGACGGCTGTGGGTGATGAGGGCATGGCTGTCTGGTGTCAGCTCACAGGGATCACCACTCTAGACCTGCGCCACTGCACGCGCATCACATGCCGGTCCATGTACCACATTCGCCAGCTGCAGCACCTAGACTCGCTCAACCTTGCCTGGGTGGCCACCTGTGCAGCCAATTCTGCAGCCAACTTTGCAGCCAACATTGCTGCTGATTCTGCACCTGGAGACAGGTAAGTCCAGGCCTTTGAGACCTCTCAAAAACCTCTCGCTAACTCCGCTCTTCCTGGTGCCGCCTGGGTCAGGGTTCTTGAAACTACTAGTCTTTTTCTCTATCTCGGCACCTGGTGGCAGGTGGATCAGAGCGCTG